ATAATGGCCCCCCCGGCCTTATTAGAGCTAATTGGACACATGACCATTTCAGTAATAGGGCTGTGGCTCATGCTTTTAATAAATCTTGAATTGAATTGAATCGAAATGAAATTTTAAGAGGTGAAAAGGGGAAGGGGCACATTTACAAATTGATAGGGGTTTTTGCCACTTTTACTATGTAAAAGGGGCTCTTTTTATAAAGTTAAAGGGGCAATTTTCCTATGAAAAAAGGTGCACATTTCGGGTACTTGAAAAAGTAGGGGCACTGCCCCCTGCCCCCTGGGGAGGCCACATCTGATTTTGGCGCTCTCCAAAACAAAGATGTATGCCAGAAGCATATTTGCTAGATCTGTTGGAGGAAGAACATGCCTTGAACTTCTGCACAATGGTAGGCCAGCTGACATATCATGGTGCGCTTGTCATGCTCGTATTAAAGGCTCGCCCTACTCTGCTCATGCTCATACGAAATTCGCCGTAAGTCCCCGTACTCGATATAAACTCGCGTAAATCTCGTGGGCAATTCGACATGACCTGCAGCACGATCGTCGTGCTTGTACTCCACTCTTAGAAACTCGAATAGCACTCGCGTATACTTGAAGGTGGCGAGTTGATACGAGTTATGTACAATGCAGTGCGAGCTTGTTACAAACAATGCGAGTATATTGCGAGTGTAAGCGATTTCATCTCGAGTAACAACGAGTCAGTAAAAAAAAATTGAACTGCTCGCGACTAATTCGAGGAGAGTCGTGGAATGTTGTAGAGAGTTACGTCGAGCCATAACGAGTTGTCTCGAGTTACAAGAAGAGCTTTTCGCGAGGTATTGCTAGTGCCTCTTTGAGGCAACTTACCACAACTCGCCATAATTCGCCATAACTCGCTTATACAACTTGGCTAAGTGGGAGCCCTGCTTAACATGAAAAATTCAGTTGCATGGTTTTATAAAAAAGGCCTGTTATACTTCACTTTTCTAGCAATGTTATCTAGTCTACTCCTACCTGTCAAGAGTCTTTGCCATAGCTGTCTCTCTCCGTCAGCTACAAACTGCGCACATGTTATCCCGACAGTCAAAGAGACGACTGATATGAATGCAAGCTTCACTCTCAACGCTGTAGTTCCCGCCATGATAGATGGATGGAATTGATATATAGTACCAGGAGTGCATAACCAAGTACCAGGTATACGCCTATGCGACTCACTGACCGTAATGGTCGATCATTGTGCGGTGCGAATTGTTTTTTTTTAACCGTTTTGTCGTCTGCACCGACGTTTAATTGAACTTTGCATTCAAAGAAAAGAAGAAAGGAAGAATATTAATCTGTTGGCACAGACCCTTAATGGTACTATGTCCCATTTGCATGCCAAAAAATGAAAAGGTTAAATTTCAACGGCATTTGAAAGATAGTACTAATTTAGAACTTCCCGAAAAGGGGGCTTGAAAATGTCTTTAATTGGGAAAATAATGACTATAAGTTGTCGAATTGACTTCAGTGATACCAATACAGTAAGTAATAGTCTGATTTTCAGACCATTGTACCGAATGGTCGTTCGTTTTGTGCTGGCAAAGATTCAATCAGTTAAATTTTGGCCATCACAAGAATTGGGTTATTGATGTAGACAAATGCTCGTGTACCCTTTACAGTTCATTTTATGTATGTTATTACCAAAGAAGAAAAAAGCCAGTCAGTCACTCAATAGTGCCTGACAGCTAGTGAAGTCTAGAAAGTGAACGGATTTCCTTGCATAATTTGAATATTAGGACACTGCTAACGACACACATCCCTGCAAAGTTCTACAGAATTTGATGTTGGCTGCAGAAGGGACATAGTATCTTCAAATGATCGCAATTAAACTTGTCACAACTCGGGGCTATTTGATCACCACATACCTAGCTTAAACTCCACAAGACCACAACAACGCCCATCACCACCATCCTCTTTTTCTTCTTCCTAAAAAGTACAAGCTCCATGAAAGGAAGATTAAGGCATCGGTCTCATCCGACGACCCGGTGGACTTGTATCACGTACACGAGAAGACCCTCCTCACTCATTACACAGGTTGGGTGAAAAAGGGAACATCGTTGTTTGTTGGGTAAAATATAAAATTACGTAAATGAGTACACAGAATTGGTTAAATCAATTTTACCTATCCAACAAAGTACCTTCTTTGTGTTAACCCAAAGTTTTAAACAAATCTTTTAAGGTATTTTTTCTGGCGGATGGAGTCCATATCTTACCATATAATTGATCCAGACCTCGATTGCGAGATAGGGCGGGGTAGGGGGACGGTGGGAGGGGACATAACGCCGACAAATCACTTACTAGCTGAACGATAATTTTTTTAATTTGGATTATTAAGAGGGGGCATGGGCAGGTTGTTGGTCTTTTTAAAATCCACTAGCTCACTTGAAGGTGTCGAAGTAGGCTAGCTAGTGACTAGTGGTTCAATCACTCTCAAGCCTAAGGTTGAATGGTTTGAATCCCAACCCGGCAGGAATGTCCTTTGACAATACATTAATCCATATTTGAAAATCTCCAGCCATGTGTGAATGGGTATTTCGATCGATCTGGCAATTGCCGGGGTAATAGTTACTGCAGGGCCCTCAGGAAGAAAAGCCTTAAGCCAATGCATGAGGCACTCCAAGGGAAATAAAATCACTCTTATTATTACAATCCGTGTCTATAGAAGAAAAATAAATGAAGCAAAAGAGTCAGAGATGATCCTTGATCCTTATCAGGAATTGAATGCCTGCACACAGCTTGACACCACACACCGTGGAACACGGTCCTACCCTATAAGGCTTATTGTGTTTCGTGTTTATTTAGTGATATCTCTTCTAATACGAACAATCCACCACGACAAAAGTCAAAACACCACCCCCCCCCCCCATTTAATACGCCCTTGATATGGGTGAAACTGATATATGGTACAAACTCTACACTTTCAAGGCAAAGAGTAAAAATAGGGGGGGCAGATATTGTAGCCACACAATCACCCACATAAACACACGCTCTCACACGCAAACACACACACACACACACACACACACACACACACCTTTTAGGGGCCTCCTTTCCATTTACAATGTACGTGTATGAGACGCGTAAATTACCAAAATATGCGCCTCCTCATTTTCGGGTAGGAGGTGGGATTTGTAGTTCTTATTCCTTATCTAGTATTTTTTTTAGGACGAAAATTATAATGACACTGTCATGCCTCTCATATAGCTCCGTTTAGTCTCATTTAACAACGCCCCTATCGTCATCGTCAGCAGCCTATAAACATGTTAGCTTATGGACTTTTTTTTTTTTTTATGCGAAAAGCACATCCACCCCGACGTACGTTATCACTAGCTCTTTCATGGGAACCCTCATGTCCCACTGAACGACATGAACAACAGTCACATGCTGGCCATAATAGAGAGAAAGATGCGTCCAGAAGATCGGAGGTTATGGTTTCGAGACCAGGATGGTAGTTCGGAGACGACTCTTCCTTCTCTGATGAACTGGATGTAGAAGGAGATGCGAGCTCGCATGAGATCATCAGCTCCGCTCCGCAGTGAAGCCAAGTCCAGCATTGTGAACATGGTCTCAAAGGCAAAGGAGAAACCATCCAGGAACCAGTCCACAAAGGAGTTTAAGTGCTGGGTCTGCAAAAGTTATACTGGACATCGAACAGATCAGTGCAGGGATTTCATCTCAAAATCGGCACCTGAGCGATGGAAGATGGTGAAGAGCAGTCGTGCCTGCTACAGCTGTTTCAAGAAAGCTGGACGACACCACACGATGAGTAACTGCAACAGGCGACACCGTTGTAGTGAATCCAGGAATGTAGTGCAGTGCATATACTATCATCATCCATTACTCCATACTGAAAGGAGCATAGTTGATGAAGGAGGAATAACGAAACAAGTGGGAGTAGCTACGGTCATTGCCAATGAATGTCTCCTTCCAGTGATGATAGTTGATGTGATCTCTAAACGAGCTGTGCAGCAAGGAAATCTACTGTTAGATTCTGGTGCTGAGATAAGCCTTATTCGTAAAGTTTTTGCAGAGAGGCTCAGGCTTAAGGGAACGCCGATAACCATAATAATGGTCAAGATTGGTCGAAATGAGGAGGTTATCCAAACTCTCAAGTATCGGATACCCATCAGAGAAGCAGGGAAAAGCTCCATGCCTACCATGATTGACGCTATAGGCATACACTGCAGCAGTAGACTTGGGCCTTCTATCGAAGAAGTTTGGACTAAAGGAGCAACAGTTGAAGCGAGTTACTGGAGCAGTCGACCTCCTAGTGGGCATAGATCATGCCAGGCTCCATGGCGGAGAAGTTAGAGAGGTTGGACATTTAGCAGCTCGCAGATTTCCAGTAGGATGGGTGGTGTTTGGCAAAGGACCCACTGACCATGTCGGCGCCAGTTCAGTACTTCCCATAAAGATCTCAAGCCCTGCGGATCTTACAGACTTCTGGAGTTCAGAGACAATGGGTGTTGGGCCAACATCCTGCCAGTGCAAAGCAAAGTGGTCTGAGTAGACAGGAAGAGATTGAGGAGCAATTGATCAGGAGATCATGCAAGAAGGTGGGAAATTAATGGCAAGTTTCCTATCCTTGGAAGAAAGACCCCAATCTTCTACCAGATAACAGGATCCAGGCTGAGAAGATCTTGGTGACTACAGAAAAGAGACTGGCCAGAAATGAGAAGTATGCATCTGCATACAAAGAGCAGGTGAAAGAAATGGAAGAGCTGACATTTTCCAGGAAGCTGACAGAGGACGAGATGAACAGTTACAAAGGACCAGTGCATTAAATTTCCCACCATGCGATGATAAGGCCAGAGAAGAAAAGTACTCCAGTACGAATAGTGTTCAATTCATCGGCCACTTTTCAAGGTCACACACTCAATGAGTGTTGGATGAAAGGACCGGACCTTCTCAACAGCCTTCTACGAGTTTTGCTGAGGTTCAGAGAGAACAAAATAGCTGTATGTGGTGATATTTCTAAAAATGTACCACAGAGTTCTAGTCCCGGAGTCCGACCAGCATGTTCACAGGTTCTTGTGGAGGAACATGCAACTCACCAGAGAGCCAAGTACTTACATCAAGACTGTACTGACATTTGGGGACAAGCCTGCATCTGCCATGGCTCAGATAGCACCAAGGAAGACAGCTAAGGAGGCAGAAAGTAGATATCCAGAAGCTGCCCAGGTACTTAAAGATTGTGTCTACATGGATGATATCTGTGAGTCAGTACAAGACCTACCTACAGCCCAGAGACTCACAGATGAGATTGACAAAGTGCTATCTGAGGGAGGATTTAAAACCAAAGGATGTTTATCAAACAGATCGCTGACAGATAGTGTACAGAAGGAAGGAGAGATGAAGCCCGTGGAGGCGCTTGCTGAGGAGAAGGTCCTGGGATCTGTATGGGACAACAGCAAAGATGTCTTCTCCTACAGAGTCAAAATAGATATGCAAGAGTACTCTGAGGGTAAACCAGAAGGAGAATGGAGTCTCAGCAAGAGAAAGATCTTGAGCCAGATAGCACTTGTATTTGATCCACTCGGCTTTGTAGCAGCCTTCCTGATTCGTGCCAAGATTGGGATGCAGAGCCTTTGGGAAAAGGGCTATGACTGGGATGAGATGCTGCCAGAAGCAGACCAGAAGTGGTGGATAGACTTTTTCAAGGAGATGAAGGAGTTGGATGAGGTTAAGTTTGAAAGAAGCCTCACACCATCAACAACGGTTATCGATCATTCAATGCCGTGTATTTTTGCAGATGCATCCCAGAATGCTTTCGGAGCATGCGTCTATCTGAGGTGGCAGCTTGAGAACGGTAATTATGATGTCAGATTTGTAATGGCCAAGTCCAGAGTGGCCCCATTGAAGAATATGACCTTTCCCAGATTGGAACTACAGGCAGCAGTTATGGCTACACGACTCCTCACCACTGTAATAAAGGAGCTGAGACTGCAAGTTGAACAGGTGGTGTTCATGGCTGATAGCCAGATTGTTCTATCGTGGGTACAGAGTCAGAGAAAACGCTTCAAGACGTTTGTCGCAGTGAAGATAGCAGAGGTTCAAAGTCAGTCTGACCCTGCCCAGTGGAGATAAGTTCCAGGTGATCAGAACCCTAACGATGATGTGTCAAGAGGTCTGCCAGCAGCAAAGTTAGGACACAGATGGCAGCATGGCCCAGAGTTCCTGTACCCTCCAGAAAGTGAGTGGCCTGAAGATCAGATAATAGGCCTGGAGAGTGAATCTGTGATGGAAGTGGAGAAAAGTAAATTTCATCTTCTCTCTATGGCAACTAATCAAGAAGTCATTAAGACTGAGAACTTCTCAAGCTGGAGGAAGCTTATCAGAGTAGCTGCTTATGTATAGCGATTCGTGCACAAGCTCAGAAATGCACGAACAGATGAAGAGAGAGATGACATCAGCCAATCTCTGACACCGGAGGAGTTAAGAGAGTCAGAAAGAATGCTGATCAGAGGAGCTCAAACTTCCCTCAGAGCTTGTCTTGAAAAGGGTGAATTCAAGGTGCTAAGTCCCTACACAGATGCAGAGGGAATAATCCGAGTTGGTGGTAGGACAAAGCTTTGATCTCGTTTGATATGAGACACCCTGTACTCTTGCCACGTGATGACTCCATATTATCGTGTCCCATAACACGTGAGATGCATCAGGATGGACACAGCGGAGTTGCAGCCACAACTGGGAAAGTGAGGAAGCAGTATTGGATCTTGCAGGGACACATACTTGCCAAAAACCTGCCAGTTCAGATGTTCAAAATGTAGAGAGATGGAACACAAAGTAGAGAAACAGCTGATGACAGAATTACCTGACCAACGAGTTGCCCCTCATACTCGGCCATTCTACAGTACTTCATGCGACTACTTTGGTCCATATAGAGTGAAGATTACCCGGAACACAACAGCAAAGTACTATGGGGTGATTTTTACTTGCCTGAGCACGAGGGCAGTTCACTTGGAGATTGCTACTGACTGCTCAACCATAGAATTTCTTCAGGTGCTGAGAAGGTTTTTCGCATTAAGAGGCCAACCCGCATATCTGCTAAGTGACAATGGCACACAGTTCATTCGAGCTGAGCGAGAACTCCAAAAGATGGTCAGAGGTTTGGACGTGCAAAAACTCCAAGAATACTGTGCAGACAAACGTACAGAGTGGAAATTCACCACCCCTTTAGCACCTCACCAGAATGGATGTGCAGAGTCGCCGGTGAAAAGCTGTAAATTAGCATTTTTACAAAAGCCATCGGAGATCAGCGCCTTTCACCGTTTGAACTTTACACATGCTTAAAAGTAGCCAACCTGGTTAATCAAAGTCATATTGGTAGGATTGCTAACGATCCTGATGACGGAAGTTACTTGTGTCCAAACGACATGCTACTAGGGAGAGCTTTGCGCCAAGTACCACAAGGTCCATTCAAAAGTTCGGGAAATCCAAGACATCGAGTTGAATATGTTCAACAAATTGTCGACTCCTTTTGGCAACGACGTTGGACGAGCGATGTTTTACCTCTACTGGTGCCAAGGAGAAGGTGGAATGCAGATCGTCGAAATGTTCGCGTCGATGACGTCGTAATGTTAGCAGATGCTAATGCAGTTTGCGGAAAGTGACTTCTGGGTAGGGTAAAACAAGTGTACCCTGGGCCAGATGGGAGAGTTCGAAATGTTAAAGTGAAGACGTTCGAAGGCACATTTATCTGTGGACTGTGATGTACACAGTTTACCTGTCATTGTAGATTTATGATTAGCCATCTTTCATGTATTAATCTTTAATTGTTGACACACATACAATTACCAGACACATGAACACTCTCACTTCCCCTCCCCAACACACCATTTTCGCACACCCGGTTCACACATCATACCCAATTGCATATACACCCTGCAACACAGTGGAACATTCTAGTTTGGTAGTTACGGCAAACCAGCTACGTTTGTGCTGGCGAAAATGAGACAACCGGAGCAATATGCACAAGAATTATGAACTTTAAAGTTGAAAGTCGGGTTAGCGACGTCATCCGCTCCCTCCTCCCTTGTGCCCCCTTATATATTCATGACATGTTAGTTTCAAAGTTAAATGAAATTGAAGAATACTAACTAGACCATTTTGGTTTTGTAATGGATTCAAATTTATTCTTTTTTGTCAAGTGACTCGTCACAAATTATTTCTTTCACCTGTTATAAATAATTTTATTTCAATAGTCAGTATTCGAATGGCAGACATTACGTGTTGTAAGTTAGGACAAGCCATAATATTTGTCCTACATGGACCTCACGGATGGACATTCGTTGTTTTGTTGACGTATTCATTGATTGTCTCCGTCAATGTCGTGAAAAAACATGAAAAACATGTTGATATTACAAAATAGAAGTTTTATTTGGATTGTTTGTCATATAAGATCCCGTTTTCCCCAATTTTCTCACATTACAGATCATGGCCTTCTAATTGGTTTATATGGTCATTGGCGCGTGCGAAAGTGTGCGAATCAGTAGTAAATCTATTTCATATCACCCAAATCGTCTGCTTTTCAAATTTTCTGCTCCACATTGGTAATATTTTTTATTCAAGACACACTCTCACAGAGCACACCATCCAAACAAAACACAAGAGAGGGAAACTGCTCCATTAAATGGATAGTTGAGTTCTGTTGCAGAGGGCGCTACACAATGTTGTTGTTGTTGAGATAATGAAAAACTGAGTGTCAAATTTGAAAGAACATGCCATTTAAATGACAAATAATCTTTGTTTGATCAAAATCGGTTCAGAGACGGCTGAAATATCCTTAAATATAATGATATCTAATTATTGTGTACCACCACAAATATTAGATAATTTGAAAAACCCGTTGAAAAAACGAAATAGTGCCTTTTACGTCGTACTTTTTTGTTAGCATTTTTGTTGTTGGTTATATTACGCACAACCAGCCGTCCCATGTATTGTTATTTTTAATTAAATAATTAATTAACGGTCACCGTATGTGTTTGAAAGTGGAACCAATCATATTGGCTAGATTTCACACATTTTGGGGTCTAAAATTACCTTCGTAGCAATTTTAGGTTCTAAAAGGGCACTAGAAATGTCATAGATAAGAATAAGGGCAGATCTCGTTGGATCAAAGAAAGAATCCCGTCGAATGTCCATCCGTTATAAGTCCATGACCATACTAAAGCAGATATTCTTTTGAGTATTTTGTGAGGACTCGAGTAACAAAAAAGACATGAATAGGAAATTCAGGTGGATAGAGCATGACGTACCCTGGAAAAATAATGATGCCTCATCCCGAAAATAATACCAAAAATGTTTCAATGGTACTTAGTGATACCTAACTACCTTTTGAAAGGAATTCTCTTTGATTTGCCTTCATAATTAGATTTCTTACCTCACAACCTCGTTCACCACAATAAACAGAGGGCATTAATAACATGAAAGTTGTTTTTTTTATACTACAATATGCAAACTGGCTATGGTGGGGTGACACACTTCAGTTTAATTCCAATTTCAACTTTATTTCACAAATGCAAAGTATATACACTAAAATACCGCGCATATACAAAATATTTCTGAAGACACTGAAATATCCTCTCATTTAAATTGTTGTCCTACATAAAGACAATTAAACAAACAAAGACTCTAGCCCGAATTCACAAAGGAGGTTTGTCGACAAACCTAGGTTTATTCGCGTCATATGACGCGTTTAGACGCGTTTGTACAAACGGTTTGTAAAAACGCGTCGAAACGCGTCATATGACGCTCATAAACATAGGTTTGTCAACAAACCTTATTTGTGAATTCGGGCCATTAAGTTTACACCTTTCAAAGACATCATAAACTTTTATTGCTGTGCATGGAGCTGTCTTGCATGAGGTGTAGTGTTTCTTTTGTACCGAGTTTTCTCGGCAACTTGTACTGGTTTGCAGTCGTTGTGCTGTTATCCAGGATGAAATCATGCAGACGATCAAATGTCCCGGGTTTCACGATGTGCACAACAGGAGGGGCTATGCTTCCTTCCTCTCGGAACATATTGTAAGTGGCAGAATGCAGACAGAGCTCTTCATCGACCTTTTAATGTTAATAACAAACATATCCATTATACATAAAATCTTATTTATATAACTGGAAAATGATGATGATGATGATAATGATAATAAAAACAATAATAATAATATCGATAATGATAATTATGATGATAATTATTATGATGATTGTTTACCACTAGACTAGGCAGGCCGCGTATACGCAAGGACAAATACAATTTGGCGGCGAAACCAGCCAGGCGTGAATCTCGTCGTGAATTTAATCGCTAATTATTCACGACTAAATTGACGACGTCGTGAATTTTATCGCCAATTATTCACGTCGAAATTGACGATATCGTGAATTTCGTCTTGAATAATTCACGATTTCGTCTATTGACGACGTCGTGAATTTTATCGCAAATTATTCACGACGACATTGACGATATCGTGAATTTCGTCGTGAATGATTCGCGATTTCGTCTATTCGCGATGTCCCTTCAGGGCCACCAAACTTACCTTATTGAGCGAGATATCAGTAGAGGAAACTTCATCAGGGGTAGGTGAAATCTCAAGAAACACCACGTAGTATGGGCGATGGTCAGCATCATCTTTGTCTGCAGGGAGGCAAGAAAAATAAGAATATTTAAACCAGGCATGCAGGTGCAGTGGCTGTTCAGTGGAACCTACCACTGAGGTTAACATGTGCAATTCTACCGACTTGATAACGAGAATACAAGGTAGTCCTTCGCCTTCGAATATGAAACAAGCGCTCAATATCTTCTAGGACTTGCCGATCTTTTTACTGAGTATTTCCTAGTGTTTGATGTATAGCCTATATGCAAAGAGTATACGATGGGTCTATTGGAATAATGGTTACATCACCTGACTGTGGATCACATGGTTCACAGTTCGAGTCCCGCCATGGCACTACGTTTGCTCTAAATTTGCTACTCTCCACCCAGGTGAAGATTAAGGGCCTTGTAGGAATTTATTCCTTGAAGGCTTTAAGTGCCTGAGCCATGGGCAGCTAGGCTAAAGCCAAGGTAATAATACTACTCTGAAGGCGCCTTGAGCATCCCCCGGGATGCATACACGCGCATTAAAAGTGTACCTATTAGTATTATTACTATTTTTTCTGTCAATATTATTACTATTATACTTACTCTTCTTCTTCTTCTTCTTCTTCATCTTCTTCTTCTTCATCTTCTCCTTCTTGTTCTTCTCCTTCTTCCTCTTCTGTTCCTCTTGTTCTTCTTATTACTATTATTATCATTATCATTTGTATTATTATTAGTATTATCATTAGCATCATTGCTATTATTATCATTCTCATTAGTATTGTTACTAATATTATTTTCATCATTATTACCATGATCATCCAAGAGAAAGCTTTCTGCTACAGCATAATCATCCAGGCTGACATTAGACCAGTGGTTTACTGCAGCCTCTATGGCTTCCTTCACAATGCTTTGATCAAGTTTCTCATATTTCACGTTGAGCATCTGGCCTGATCTGTAGTAAGGAGAAAATCTTTCTTGTATTAACGTCCATTAAATATAATGAAACGAGCATCTTATTTTAATAGTTTCTGATACGCCTGTCAATAACGCAAAATAAATTCTTGGAGGCCAGTATAATGTGTTTAAAAATATAACTAGAACAAAACTTCAATTTCATTTTCTTTTAACCAAGGGTACTTAAATGGCTCACAAAATGTATACTTACACCGCAGCCCTCACACTTAGATTAAATAAATGTCCTTTCTTTTCAGCAAAACCTTTTTTGCTCATTGGGATGTGTCTTTCCCTGATAACAGTCATGAAAGCATGGTTAAAAAATAACCATGAAGTTATCGCGGGAGTCAAACGGGAGTTACACAAAATGTATGCACTACTTTGATGATATACAAGCTTACCTATACATGAATTCAACTACAGGTGTATTCAAGTGATAACGCCTAACCCTGATGACGTCACCATATCTGAACCGATAGATACCGAATATCTGTGTGATGACGATCTCGTACACGCTTCCGACCTCGAGTTCATCAATGAAGAGTATCTTCGGCTGATCCTCATGCCTATATCGAAGAGAATGTAAATCATTGCGATTGATATCTGAAATCTTTGCATATGGAATCCGTATTAACTCATCAAAATTTTATACAGGTATTTTTCATTGGAGAGGGGTGATCGTAGACTATATCGAAAATGATGTAGTTATGATATTATACAGTTAACAGTGAAATAGGATGTGATTTCAGATTTTGGTGCGCCTACTGTAAAGCATTTTCCCCGTTGGAAATATGTGAGAATGGAAGAAGTTCATCATCACTTACATCTCGTTTTCGGGAATGAATTCGAAGACGCAGAGAGATGGCATGATAACAAACTCGTCTTCCTCCTGCAGAGGCCAGAGGTTGATACCAATGATACCTTCAGTAGCACCTAGAAGACGACTAAATAACGGTAGACCTGGCAGAATATCAGAATAACACATTGGTAATAAATTAATTATAAAGTCAGTTCGCCTAAAACGCAAGGTAGAGTAACATCCTCTTATGTCGATTTCACCCTTCAAACGTCACTATTTTCAAAACGGGAGACGGCAGAGATAATCCTTTCAGGTTCAAAGGCATGGTTATAACAACTATGATAATACAACCATAGCATTGAATAAAGTCTGTCCAAACGTTGTCTCTGTAAAAAAAAGGAAATGGATAAATTTCCAATTTTAAACAGAGATGAATTAATAGGCAATCCTCTAATTTAACGACACCTTATTATGATATTAAAGATAAACTTGAGTTCTGGTAAAAAAAGAAAACGAATTCTCACAGAATCTAACAAAACTTACACTGAATGTTCAAGATTACAAATAAATGTCATGTGCAAAACAATTTTGGAAGAAAATGTATACTGGCTGAGTAATGAGCATAGAAAGATAAGGAAATCGGGGTAGTACTAGCCCCGACACCATGTGTTTTGTCCCATATACATTTGTCTGTGTAAGTGATTGTTACTTTACCAAGACTCTGCCACATTTATGATGATTTTGATGATTCCAGAACCTTGCATTACACATCATTACTTGCATGCTATATGATCAACTTTTCTGATCCATTCCACACCTTTTCTTTCACAATGCAATCGCATTACCAGAACTCAAGTTTATCTTAAATCCTCTTAATCATAAAGGCAAGGTAAGGGAGAGAGAGAGAGAAAATGAAAAAAAGATCAGGAAACTTTGCATGATGTGGTTTAGGACGACTGGTCATTCATACCTTTCAGATATGTTTTCAGCAGTTTTTGCTTTATACCCACAGTATCGCTGGCTTGTACAAATTTCAAGCAGAACCATACTCTTCTCAGTATGCCTTCAAATCCCTTCTCGAATTCTCTCTTCAGATCTGCCGCACGTTCCGGATCTCCCTCACCCATCTCTCTGACAAGTACTTGGTGAATCTCTGGAGGAACGTTGTTTGTCGACAGTGTCCCGATCTCGATGTCACGAACGATGTCGGTCCAACGTTTCTCAATCAGTTGCATGACAGACATCACGGTGGATGTAACGTGACACCTAATGGAGCGGAGGTTTGGGTCGCGAAGGCCATAAAGGAGATGGACGTAGAGGGCATCGTTAGGATCTTCAACCTGGAAACCTTCGCCTGGTGTGGTGTAGATCACTAGCAGAGGTTTCATCGAAGGGGGTATCGAGGATGCAGGACCAATGGGAATCCCGGTCTCTCCTCTTTGGTGCTGTATAAAAGTTTATTTCTCGTTGAAGGAGACTGCCATAACCGAATGCGTTAACACGGGCGTGGATGTTTACCAAATAAACTGTGGGTAGTATAGACAGAGACAATTGGCCATATGGCCACATCTTTGACTTTCCCGTAGTTCCAGAAGTAAGACCAAATCTTATAGTTTGTTCTCCTGTCATGATACCCTGCTCACCTTTAGCCATGCGATCTACGAATGGTCTGTAACGTTCATAAGTTGTCAAAGGGTGTTTCTCTCTAAGGTCCCTCAAAGACGTCACAGAATCAAGTCCATACAGTTTCACGTATTCCGTGTTGATGTTTCCCTCGAGGATGGCTTTCAAATATTCTTCCTGGGTTTTTCGGGGGTTCTTCCAAGTTTCTTCACATCTGCTAACCTTTCGATAGCGAATAAACAACATCACTGACATAATAAAGACCTGAGTGTATGCTGATTTTAGGCCATGCCAATACGATATCCGTAGTGACGCCATCCATAGCGATATCACGGCAAGCAATATACTTATTGTTCCAAGCAGCCCTGTAACAAATAAGAAGAAGAAAAAAAAGGACAATACAGTGTAAAAAGAGTATGCGTGTGTGTTATGTATGTGCGTGTAATTGTTTATCATTCTATTTTGCTTCTTATATCGCTTAGAGACTTCGGTGGTAAGCGCTTTGAAAGCACCGTTTTTTATGATGATGTTGTTGTTACCACATAGCCTATAATACCTGTCACAAGTCTTTGCCATAGCTGTTTCTCTTCGTTAGCTGCAAACTGGACAAAGATTATCCCGACAGCCAAGGAGACGACTGATACGAATACAAGCTTCACTCTCAACGCTGTAGTTCCCGCCATGATGAATTGTTGGAACTGATATGTAATACCAGGGAGGTGGGAGTGCATAACCAAGTACCAGGTAGGCCTATGCGACTCACTGACCGTTACGGTCGATCGTTCATTGTGCGGTGCGAATTGTTGTTGTATTTTTAATTGTTTGTCGTCTGCACCGACGTTTATAAAGTGAACTTCGCATTAAAAGAAAAGAAAGAAAAAAAAAAAGAATATTAATCTGCTCGTACAGACCCTTAAATTAAAATAAACTTGACACAACTCGGGGCTATTTGGTCACCACATACCTAGCTTAAACTCCACAAGACCACAACAACGCCCATCACCACCATCCTCTTTTTCTTCTTCCTAAAAAGTGCAAGCTTCATGAAATGAAGGATAAGGCCTCGGTCTCATCCGACCCGAGTAGACGTAGTGTATCACATACATGAGAAGACCCTCTACATTCATTACACAAGTTGGGTGAAAAAATGAACATCGTTGTTTGTTGGGTAAAATATAAAGTTGGGTAAAGAGTACACAAAATTGGTTAAACCAATTTTCCCTATCAAACAATGTACCTTCTTTTTTTAAACCCCAAATTTTAACCAACTCTTTTTAACCCTATCTAGCCCGGGGGGGGGGGGGGGGGGGGGGGCTTTAGAAGCCCTTCCTCGACATTTTCGCGATAATTTTTTAACGCAAGAAAATCTTGCACTGAAATTTTGTGAATTTTTTCTTTCGAGTCTTGCGCATCTTTTGAAAGAAATTTTTCGAAAATCGGACCTACCATTACAAAGTCACGTGTCCTTTTGTCTTTGCATGTCAGTCCGAAAATCGCTCATTTTTTTGATTTGTGTACAAAAATATGGAAATCTCATTTTTCAAATAAAGAGATAAAACATTGGTTGTTTGGTCTTGTTTATAGTTTAGGTGTGTTTATTTTGGGGTCAAAATAGTTAAAGTATAGTTGGAAATGAAATAAAACAACAAAAACAAAAAATACATAAGAAATTATCAAAACAATAGATAACATAAGGAATAACCTGGTTCTTCCAATTTTTTTTGGCTGTATTATTATCCCAAATGGTCTAAATAGTATATGTAGTGAAAATTAATGTTTAAATATGAAGAATATATGATTAATGGATAAAAATGTGAATACTATTAACATATTTGAATAAATTACCATAAATATGCAAATGAGTAAATTTTTCAAAAAAATTGAAAATACCATAGAATTCTATACACTTCACTTGACATGCATGCAAATTTTTGCGGCGATCGGCCGTTTCACGGCCGAGATTATAGGGGGAGGGCTATGCAGTTTCAAAATAGTCCGGGCTAAATAGGGTTTAGGTATTTTTTGGGGCGGGTGGAGTTCATATTTTACTATACAATTAAACCAGGCCTCGATTGAGGGCTATGGCGGGGTAGGGGGACAATGGAAGGGGACACAATTCCGACAAATCACTTACAAGCTGAACGAGAAATGTTTTAATTGGGATTCTTAAGGGGGGGGCATGGGCCGGTTGTTGGTCCTTTTTAAATCCACCAGCCCACGTGAAGGTGTCGTAGTAGGCTAGCTAGTGACTAGTGGTTCAATCAATCTCAGGTTGGAGGGTTCAGGTCCCAACCCGGCACGAATGTCCTTTGACAAGACATTAATCCACATTTGAAATTAGCTCCAGCCAGGTGTGAATAGGTATCGGTCTGGCAATTACCGGGGTAAAAGTAACTGCAGGGCCCTCAGGGAGAACAGATAAAGCTAATGCACGGGGCACTCCTTGGTAAATAAATCTCTATTATTATTACAATCCGTATCTATAGAAGAAGAATGTATGAAGCAAAAGAGTTCAGAGATTTTTGATATTGTCAGGAATTGAATACCTGCACACACCGTGACACACGGCGCCTGCACGGCGCTACCTTATAAGGCTTATTGTTTATAATGTTTATTTAGCGATATCTCTCCTAATACGAACAATCTACCACGACAAGAGACCCTTGATCTGTGTGTACTATACTGTGGCCGTTTTTAAGGTTTAATGCGTTTGTATATATAGTTAAACACTCGTGATAGGCAATCTATTCTACCAAAAGTCTCAATCGCTCTTGATCGCTAGTTTCTACATAGTCTCCAGAGTAAGTAAGTTCTTTTCAGTTTACCTCACACAAGCTCGTTTTGAATTTGCTAACTTATACATAAATAGTGTGATTTCTCTATTGCATATTCTATGTATTTGTTAATGTTTTCCCCGGAGCTCTTTTTAGCTTTACCTCTTCATTTAGATTGAAGCTCTGGATTCTTACAAGGGGAAAACCCCATTCGGAATTCAAGTTTTGTCTTTGCTCGTTTGTGAAACATGTCCTCCCATTTGTACGAGACCCGGGTTTTTTTTTACAAATAACCTAAGTTGAACTTATTTCTAAGTTGGATTTCACAATTATTATGGAAAGCCGTTAGCATCTTTGAAAACATTTTGTAAAAGTTATTTTAAAAGGCATAAAATGTTGATTCAAATCATTCATATTTTCTAATATCAAGGAGAATTCATGTTCTTGATGTAGAATTTATGAAAAGTCTAAAATACTTCAGTTTTTGCTTTTGAATGTATTTTATCCTAAGGCTACAAATGGCGCTCCATAATTTTTATAATAACTTAGAGTTCGACTTAGGATCTTTGTGAAACACCCCCCTGTTCTCTATAATATCCATTAAGTCCCTCGAAATTACATTTTTTTTCTTCTTATATACATCAAACTCAAATACGGATATAACTTGTTTTGTGTCTGCTTTCTCTCTCTCTCTCTCTCTCTCTCTCTAATTGCAAACAATCCCTGATCAAAACATTAGATTACTCCTTTTCCCAGTGCATGTGCCTTGATGCAGCAAGGTACTTTTTGAAGGTCATGCTCTGACCAAAAAAATGTAAAACGTTCTGTTCTTCTTTGTCCATCATTCTATGTTCTCCAGCGAGTGGGCAGAAAATAAGCACACTTCGTTTACTTTAAGTAGGTCCTTTGAAAGTCGAAATCTAGTTTTATCTGAAGAAAATGTTTTTTTTTTGCATGTTTTCATTTCAGCCAAATGCATCATGTCTTTCCTTTTAACGTTGTTTGGTTTGACTGTCGGAGTCATTGTTGCTAGAATGATTGAATACTTGATAAGAAGACCCTACATCGATAATATCACAAAGGACAAGTGAGTAATAACATTTTTACCGTATTTCATCGCTGAATTCCGAACACTGCACACAAATGAAGGGTTATGACCTTATAGTTGATTTCGGGCAGCGCACATATTATTTTGGGTTGTACAAAAAGGTTCTAGGAAATCCAAATGCCCCCCCCCCCCCGGATAACCACCCCAGTCAACTAATGTCCTAGAGCAACGAGGACAACTACCCCTACGGCAACCACCCTGTAGGACGACCACCCCTGGGACAACTACCCCCGGAAAACTACCCCCAGTAATCTACCCCCTAGGACAACTACCCCCTAGGACTACTAACCCCCGGACAACTACCCCCTATGACAACTACCCCCGGACAACTACCACTCGGGCAACTACCTCCCGGACAAATACCCCCGGACAACTACCCCCAGACAACTACCCCCTACGACAACCATCCTCTAGAACAACTATCCCCGGACAACTACCCCCTATGACATCTACCCCCGGACAACTACCACCCGGAAAACTACCCCCGGACAACTACCACCCAGACAATTATCCTAGGGGGAACTTGACTTGGGTGGTTATCCGGGGTGGATGTTCAGGGGGCAGGTGTCCGAATACGGTACAAAAACCTTCTACATTGATCACCTATAGAAATAGGAAGGAACTCGCTTTGCAATGCTGCACAGGAGTCAAAGGTTTATCTGTTGAGTAAACCATACTCGCAAAATCAAACCAGTATAATCGTTGATTAATTGCTTTATTAGACCATCGCTATTGTTTCTACTATCGACAAATTTTGCTTTTAAAGTATATAGGTCATGTAGATTGTTGAGGTGAAAAGCTCCAGTTATGTTGCCAGTTGTATCAACTAAGTATTCAACGCATGCTTATTGAAATAGTTTTGGACAACGCAGTGTACGTCCCGATCATGCTAGCAAAGTAAACCAACACTTCCGGTGGGGGGGGGGGGGGGTAACATTTGCCTCCTCTCACGTACCCCTCCCCCTCATTATAAGTAATCGCCACTCCCTGCCTCTCTCGAAGTCAGAGAGTATATTCTTACTCCCTCCCTATACATTGTTAATTTTTCTCTCTCTCTCGCTTCCCTATCTCTCCATTTAACCCACTTTTGGTCTGCACGTCTTCTCTGTCCCTCTCATCCTCTTAATTTTTACTCTTTATTTTATGAAGAGCAATTGACTCACCCCTGCTGTAAAAAATCACACACTGCTCTCACAAAGGGAAACATATGACCCTACTTTATATATTTCAGGGATGATAGTTTAGTCCATATTTCATCTTTATATTCCTATCATGTCCGTCTCAGGTATGTCTTCATCACTGGTTGCGACACGGGATTCGGTAATAAGCTCGCTAAGCAGCTTGACATCATGGGTGTTCACGTGATCGCCGCGTGTCTGACAGAGAAAGGTCGCACTGACCTTGATGACGTCACTTCTGACCGGGTCAAGACCTTAATCTTGGACGTCACTGACCACGAAAGTGTCCTCAGAGCATATGAAGAATTGAAAAAGATTATACCGCATAAAGCAGGTAAGTTTTGATTCTGTCATTTAAATAACCTATGTATAGGACAAAATCTGTTTCAAAAAAAAAAAATGTCAACTAAATATGATTTGAATGTTTCCTTTAAAAAAAAATGAAACAGCAGTTTGCTATTTCAATCAATATTTTGCCGAAGAGAGGAGGAATATTTGTCACTGGGAGAGGTACCCTTAACCTTTAAAAATGACTCTCGGACGACAACTTATAGGCCAAGTAATAGCGATGATAATTCAAAATATTTGTATGATGCCATATTTTGTTTTAATACATACAGAAGTACGTTCTCCTTCGGCGAAATCCTGTAATGTAAATAACATATTAGATAAAAAGTAATGCAAAGTTTCAGGAAATTTTGAAAATCGGATGGATAGTAATTCTTTAGAATGTTGATATATTTGAATGCCCCTGCGAATGTATTACAAGCACTAACAAATTTAGTCCCTAAAACATTCTCGCTTTCGAGAAATTGAATAATCAAAAGTTACCGGTGCTCCCGGTAAATTTCAAATATTTCAAATAGTGCCTAAGGCCATTCCATGGCAGCTGCGACCATGACAATATCAGAATATGTAGTTCTGATATATGATTTCCAAACGGGAATAGCAAATCGGTCGATTGTTTTAAAGAAACATTGTTTTAAAGCTGAAATCAAATCAGTCTTAAGAGGGAGCTATACAACATAAAGAGTTCATTATTTACCATTTCATCACTTTAGACTCGATTTCTACCGCTACAATGATCATTGAATATTTTAAACTCGCATATGCTTCCAACATGGTCATTTGAACCAAATTCATGACCCCATACCCCAAAACTTTGTATTACCTTTAAGCATTTCTTTTTTAATGCAGCGCTCTGGGGCGTTGTCAATAACGCTGGAATCTCTAACCTTGCCGGCTATCTTGAATGGACAAGACGAGAGGACTACGAGAAAGTTTTGGCGGTAAACCTGTTTGGTGTCGTCGACGTTACTCTGACGTTCTTACCGCTGCTCAAGGAAAGCAGCGGTCGATTGGTCAACGTCGCCAGTAGCGCAGGGAGAGTATCCGCTTTACCCGGGGGTTACTGTGAGTCTAAATTCGCCGTGGAAGCCTTTTCGGACGCTGTTCGGTAATTTAGATTCAATGATTATATATATTGCTTTAAAATATGATTATTATTTCAAATTACGACTATTATAATATGTTCATTAATATATCGCTCTCACACAATTGGTTTCACAGCGCTTTACAAGGTATTAAGGTGGGAAAATCAGTTGAATAAATAACCATATCGATCGTTTGTTTACATGATAATAATAACCATTTTATATAGTGCAGCTACTATATATATATATATATATATATATATATATATATATATATATAATAATAATAATAACAATATTTATAAAGCGCAACATATCCATCTCTAGAGATGCTCAAGGCGCATACAAATAATTTAAATTAATATTCAACATATTCAACATAAATTTAACAATATGCATCAGGTGAGTTTTAAGCCCAGTTTTGAAAGAAGAGAGAGTGTTGGCCGTCTGAATAGAGAGAGGTAACTTATTCCACAAAGAAGGAGCATCAGGTGAGTTTTAAGCCCAGTTTTGAAAGAAGAGAGAGTGTTGGCCGTCTGAATAGAGAGAGGTAACTTATTCCACAAAAAAGGAGCTGCTGATGCAAATGCTCTATCCCCCCAATTTCTTTTGGTACGTATTTCTTAAAGTCTAATATTATGTGATGAACGTAAACCAGAACGACCTGCAGAGTGGGGTGATAGAAGGAATGAAATATATTCTGGAGCTAGATCATTTAGTGCACTATAGAGATCACACGCTGTTGAACAGGGAGCCAGTGCAGAGATTTCAAGATATGAGTGATATGTGATGATCTTCTGGTGTTAGTTACAAGGCGAGCAGCAGCATTCTGATTTTTTGCAATCGGTTAATTTGGTTGGCGGGTAGTCGAAAGAGTAATGAATTGCAATTATCAAGGTGCGAAGAAACAAAAGCATGTACTAACTGTTGGGTGGATTGAGGTGAGAGATATTGCCTAATTGCACGGATATTACGTAGATTACAATTGGCCAGTTTAACACAATTTGATACATGGGCTTCAAGTGACATGGCAGAATCAAATATTACACCAAGATTTTATAAATGTAATGATAATAATAATGTAGATTTATATAGCGCTTGATACGGAATACCGTAGTAAGCGCATTACAGATATCATTTCCCCGGTCATCGGATTCAATCACGCTCAATGTGCACCATCTCCACTCCCTGGGGAGTATTCCTACCATGTGGTCACCGTGAGGGGATAGGCAATTACTAACACAAATACTCTCGTCATCCTACCAGGTCCCCATTTCTCTATTGGGTATTGAGTGGCAAACTATGCAGATTAATGCCTCGCCGAGGGACATTAGTGCCGTGTCTCTACTCTATTGCGATGTGATGAAAACAAAACTCCTAACACTGCTACTTTACAGACTAACAAAAAACCTATTCAAAAGCTCCTGAAAGCCAATGCGTCTTCAACAAAACTTTGAGGACAACAACAGATGAGGCTTTTCTTATGTCTAGTGGTAGGTTATTCCGAGGCTTTGGAGCGGCGCATCTGAAAAAGTTACTTTTGTTTTTGTGTGATGTAACTTTAAAAGCAGCGTGTTCTGTGATCTTCGTAACTTATTTGCGTATAGATATGGTTTAAAAGATAATAATTCAGACATATAGTCTAGGGCTTGACTATTCGATGCTTTGTAAACAAGCATAAGTATCTTAAATGTAGTTTATTTATTTATTTATTTAAGTTTTACTTAAAATAGAGGGTAGGTACATTCAGTTTAACAAAACTGCTTTCCAAGTACGCCCTCTATAGTTCAATGCCTTATTGGCAACCTATGGAACTTAATCAAACCATGTGTAATATCGGAATTTTAAAAAGGAATTGGACACAAGTCTTGCACATGCGTTCTGAATATGCTGCAACTTGATTATTATTGAATCTGTTATTCAGGCATACATAATTATATTATTTGTTAAATTTGCAGGAGAGAGCGCAAGCATTTCGGCTACCTCTTCAAAGTGAGCATCATTGAACCTGGATTCTTTGCGACTCCTCTGGCCTCAAAGGATAACTTATCACGAAGTGTCACAGCTGCATGGGAACGGCTTTCTGATGTTCAGAAGAAGGAGTTCCCGGAATCCATGCTACATGAATGTAAGAATCAATTTTAAAATGACTCTACTAATGACTTCGTTGCGATTCAAGAAGTCATAATTTAACTTTTTTTTAAAAATATAATTATACAATATTCATTTCAAGTTTTCTTTTCACAATGTAAGCCTTTTTCTATATTCGTTCTATTATGATAACGGTAGTTTAAGGAATGAAGCTGAAATAGGGCCCGTTAGAACAACATTCTCATATCAACAAAAAATACGTATAGTACTTGACAGCGGACACTTGGAACTTGATGTAGAATTCTGTTTGGGTCACTGAACCTATCATACTGACATATCACTATTGATGATGAGTATACTATAAAGCAAAGCCTAGATCTGCATACTAAATCAAATGAGTCGATTATGTTCCAGCCATTCCCACATATTTAAATGCGTCTAGAGTTACGTATATAATTTATTGTTGTTTATAATGCAAAAGACAATACTCATCGCGGCAATAATATTTTTCTCATCTCATTTCTGTTTTCAGTCGTCGATGAAAAGTCCTCCCTAATCAGCTCCATGGCAACAACCGACCTCTCGAAAGTGACTGACGTCATCGAGCATGCGCTGTTCTCCAAGTGGCCTAAGACGAGATATGCTGTAGGGTGGGATGCAAAGATGGTCTGGGTGCCAATGTCGTATATGCCATCCTGGATTCAAGACAGACTCTGCCCTTAATGAAACTTAACACATTGCATACGGGAATCGGGTTTGCGCTATATGAAGCCTGTGGAAATGAGAGTATCTGGTAGTCAGGTGCTTACAATTAAGAAAAAAATGTTAGCAAAGACTCTTAAAAATGTGTCGTGCCCGTAATGTAATTCAAAGAGTTATCCTGAAGGCTGCGGCAATGATGTTGATTGCTATCTATTTTCCTTTCCAGATGGTACAATAACTAAGTGTATTTAATATCTTTAGCGCAGTACCCGGATGACTAATCAACATTGTTTTCGTATTGCTCTGTCATCCGGGAACTGTATTATTTCGCTAGTCAGCCTGATATAAATAATAATAATATTACTATTGTATGACTTTGTTTTCGTGTGATACTTTATAAATATTGCTCTCGCTGTGACAATATATTATTGTGTCACACTCAAAGCCATCAAATATTATATAAATATTTGACAGCCTGTGCGATACTCTTAGATATAACTAGTAGTACGAATATATAAGCATCTGAGCTGATCTAGAGGGTTTGCCGTTATCGATGGGAATCCATTGGGGAGGGCTATTTTATCTTCCATTTCTTGAGGAATGTGGGGGGTGGGGGGGGGGGGGTATTCGGCATAATTGTCGGCTGTAGTCATCATTTATTCATTGTTCTGAAACAACCAATGTAGGTATCACGTGAAAATTGTACGTGTCAGGAGAAAATTTGTCATTTAATTCAAATTAATATTCCGTATTTTCATTACAATTGAAGGACCCGTCGTAATATAATTAAATGCCATGTTACTCATACTCAGTGAAAAAGAATCATTTGCTTTATTAAATAGTAAATATTTACTCTATTTTAATCACTTGTATATGGATTTGTTTTCAGTGCATGCAGCGTCACCTTCAGCCGGGTCAAAGGGTCAAACTTGGTAAACAAACTGAATCTGCGGTTGTTTAGTTAAGTTCAAAGATATAGTCATAATCGAATATCAGGTAGCTGTTATTGATACAAAGGTGTGTTTGGTCTAGAGCTCATCACGTGAGGATTGCGAGGACTGTAATTAGGATTTCTTTCTCCCGGTCATTCATTTATCTGATATATTTACCAATGTCAGACTTGGATGAATCAGTGGTCGTCCCCAAGACAAGGTCCACTTTAAAGGTGTAGACCAGTTTTTGAAACGCCCCTCTCAAAAATTGACATGGAAGCTCTTATTACCAATTATGTGAAAGAATATGTTTTGAATAATACGTGATGATACAAATTTTGCCGGGAAACCGCCTACTAATTGATATATTTGGTAAATTATCATATCTATCCGGCCTGGAGAGATATCGCGTAGTCCCATAATATATCATACATCTTTCTGTGTACAGTGCTACTTTACCAAGACTGGGCCAAATTTCTTATCATTTTAATGATTCCAGAACCTTGCAGTACATACCAATACCTATATGCTAGATAATCAACCTTTACTGATCGATTCCACAACGTTTCTTTCACAATGCAGTCGCATGACCAGAACTGGTCTATACCTTCAAAGTATTTTAGGTAATGATAGGGGCACACACTATGAACGTGACGGACAAAGAAAGCGGACAAAATATACAGTTCCTCAGGTGGATAAAGGAACATCCATTCACTGCTATTATGTAAAAATGTGTAGAACAGGTGTCACATGCATATTCACCTGTTCTACACATTTTTACATAATAGCAGTGAAGGGATGTTCCTTTGTCTACCTGAGGAACTGTATATTTTGTCCGCTTTCTTTGTCCGTCATGTTCATAGTGACATCCTATCAGCCCGGTGAAGACGCACACGAATCTTTAATCTACTTATCATACCTATTGAGGACGAGTAGTATATGTTGTATTCGGCCTCAGGCGTGGTCGATGTTAGAAATAATGTTGAGTTCTGGTTATGCGATTACATTATCAAGGAACTGCCTAAAAGCGATTTAGGAATATATATATATATGAGCACATAATTATGCACAAGGAATTATTGTTAAGATACGATAATTAGATCAGTTGAATATTGATTGATTAAGGGGTCGAACTCCGAATAAGAGATATTGATGTTTTCACGAAACTATCATTGGTGATTCTAAAAGGTTATACAAAAATTGCTTAATTTTCGTATAAAATCTTACTTATTATATTCCTTCTACTGCACTAACCCTCTGACATGCAAACAATCCTGAAAAAAACTCAAACCACGAAGATATCGATGGTTTTCTTTGAAGGCGTCACTGTGCAAAACCCTCTAACAGTGATTAACAGTAAACCATATTTGAATTTTCCCAACCTTTTTACAATTAAAAAAAACATAAAACAGGCTATTAAAAACTTTCAACTCTTAAATTTCTGGAATAGTTTGTAGAGCCAATTTATTGCTTTGAGCCCTAGGTCTTTTCACTACATTCACCTAAAATGTAATGAAATTGTAATAATATAGTTGGGAGAAGTAAGGAAGAAATCAGATTTTTCCCAATTTATATCATTAATAATAGTCCGTTTTACAATCAAATTTTCAGATTATCGTTAATTGTACATCTAGCATTGGAGTAACTACCTTTGCACCACTTTCTCTCATCTGAACAAAGTTACTAAATCCCTATAAAGCCCATCTGTACTAGTATACAGGAGGAATTAGACCACTCTGCAAGGTCACTGGAAAGGTGGTTATCTCATCAAATCAGCTCTCAATTAACATAAGAAAAAGAGAATCATGGGCGATCAATGGTCACCGATTGTGCAGTGTTTGTTATATAGAGGGTGCAAGTAGCTATAAGTAGTGCAGTTGGCCTTTGAACAATCTTCTTTGAGAACAAAAATCAATATTCCAACATCACATATATTTGTATTATTAATATTATCATTATTCACCTTGAACTGAAGTACGTCCTTGTGGACTTTGAGATGTCGGAAAGGTCACGGCTAATCAAATTTGTCTCAGACACTTGGCTCAATATTGATCCTGCGACTACAAGGAAATGAAAAGAATCGATCATGGTGTGATATATCTTGCTAATTTCACAACACGCACAAGAACAAATTGCATGTTTCATGCTCATGCATAAAGGCACAGGTACATTTTTGTCCTGGAAGATTTTTTTTTTCCTTTGCGCTCTTCATTTTACTAACTTTTATTTAGAAAATCTGAATACTGAAACATATATATATACTTCAATAGAACTGTATACTAATTTCTTTCATTTTATGCTTGTTTCCCTCCCGAACCCGAGTCTCCCCCACCCAACCGCACCTCTCTCTTTCTCACTTACACACACATACACACACACACCACCACACACGCGCGCGCTCATACACGTACGCACATTTTCTTCTTAGGGTTACCTATCTCTCGCCACGTTTTCTTCCATTCTCACATCAAATCTGCGATCCTGGAAACATTTAAAGATCTTTGTACGTTACACATGGTGAGACGGGTATAGCGTGACAGGTCGAATTCTACATGTATTTGCCAATTATGTTTGCCATTCAGGATAGAGTCCAAGTGTTGTGTTGACAGTCAATATTCTCTGTATTAAGTAGGAATAATCAAGAATCCACTAATCCATAGGAGTAGACGACTTTGTATGGGGGCCTTTCCTGGTTAAAACATTTTCGTCATGTAATCTTTTGTTTAAGAGTACCTCTTTAATGTTAAATAAAGCAGAGTCGTAATATTTCAGGAGTAGGCATAATTTACATAATATTCCATGTTCATCTCAAATAGGAAAAACTAGGTTAAATCATCACTTTATGTATAACAATGTAACAAATGGAATTAAGGGCGATATTTCTCGACGACTTGGACTGAGTCTCTGATTATATGTTGACAATTTATTACTCCTAATTAAAAAAAACCTAGGACTATATTCGAAGACACCAGTTACACCAACAAGAACGATAAACAGGATGATCTAGATATTTTCATATCACCAGTGACGAAGAATCCGTCAGTTTTTAATCGTCTTGGCGTCGGGTTGGCGGTGTAACTGAGGTGGATTACACTTAATTCATCATTAAAAAAAAAAAAAAAACCGCCACCATTTAATCAGGGTAAATCTTTTAGATTCTGTAAGATTAAACAATCCTCCGTACGATTTTATCGCTAATGATAACAAAATATAAGCAGTTTACAGATGATAGTGTAGATATTTACAGAAGAATAAAGTAAAATAATATTTTACAGGAGATTAATAATGAATTTTGCTACTAGAATGACATACTAGTAATGCGTATTTATGACAAAAGATTTGCAACAAGATATTTTTTTTTTTTTTTTTTTTTTGTAAAATGAATTTATTGATAAATATATGCATTTGAACAAAACAAACAATCATACACAATCAATTGAAATAACATCGTAGCATCTTAGCATAGTTTAAATAAAACATGTTTCGTTTTCTTGAATAACAGTGTTTTCAAAAATGCATATCTTTTTTGTTTTACAGTTCCTTTCGATCTTTAATCGATTATGGATTAGTCTTTTGAAAATACAAAGAATAGAGACTTCATGAAACATGAGTTTGCGATTTTCTGCTTGCATAAATGTTAAATAAACTGCGTATTTTGCATATATGATAAGAAAATTTAAACTTTCAAATATTTTGTTTTTCAATTTATAACCTTCAATTAAAACGAACTTGTCAAAAGAAAAATTAACATTGTAAAGTTTTCGAATTATGTCTCCAAATTTTAACCAAAACAATCTTGTGTGCTTGCACTTTACAAATAAATGGAGATTGTCGTGTAACTGATCATCATATAAACATAAGGTATTGTTACACAATTTCCATTTAAATAAATTATACCTATTTGGTAATAAGTTGTGTAATAACTTAAAATTGAATTCTGATATTTTGTTTTCTTTCATAGCTTGTAAATTAAACGACCATATGACTTTCCAGTCGATTTGCTCTGCACTATTTAACATTTCTTCCCATTTCTCTTCTATTGGAGGTCTAACAATTGAATGAATAGACAACGTAGAGTAAAAAAACTTCGACTTTCGTTTAGTGTTAACATTCATTAAAACATTTTTCATGACACCTTCATTTTCTTCTCGTGTCGCATCATATACATTTACCTGTTTTAACATATTCTGTTTCCAAACTTTGGGAATTGCATTTACTATGATATAATATTCTTGAAACAAAGAAGCATGTTTTTTCTCAAATCTTTCTTCAATTTCTCTCAAAGACATAAATCTAGAGTTTTTTACGACATCATTAATTTTCAAAAGGCCTACATCGAACCATTTTTTAATAAATAGTACATTTTTGTTGTGATCTCTTATATTTGAGTTAAACCATATGTTTTCACTTCTAACATTAGTACATTGTAAATCAATTGGCGTCTTACATTCTACTATCTCTTTAAAGTCAAACCAAGTATATACCATATTCTTGTAATATTGGGGCATTTTTATATTCTTTAAACAAAACTTCATATCATCTTTTGTACATTTACTATTTAACACATATTTTAAATTGCCCACTTTTTTAAAGAAACCATCAATTATCTTTTTCCACTTTGAGTTTTCGTGGGAGAAGTAGTGCAATATCCACTTTAATATAAAACTTTGTAACAGAGCATTCAAATCAACCATTTTTAATCCTCCATACTCATAACTCATACAAACCACTTTTCTTTTTATTTTGTGTTTTTTTCCATTCCACAAAAAAGTATACAGTAAAGAGTCAATGAGTTTCATTACATTTTCCGGCATGGAAATCATTTGAGCATTGTATATAATTTGAGAAACAAGAAATGATTTGATTATAGTTATTTTACCAGAAAAAGTTAAGCGCCTCGCTTTCCATAGACGTACTATATTTTCAATCTTTGATATTTTGGGTTTCCAATTAAGGTTTATTAGGTTTTGTTCATTTTTCCCAAAGTGAACCCCTAATATTTTATCATCAGAATAGGTCCATGGAATGCCATAAATGTTTTCACCAGTGGTGTCTCCATTAATGTTAACTATGGAACTTTTTGATTTATTCAGCTCTAAACCTGAAAATAAACCGAAATGTTCTATCTGCTTTATAGCTTTCTTTAAAGATTTTGTGTCTTTAACAAAAATTGTTGCGTCGTCTGCAAATTGCAGTATCTTTATTTCGACTGAATCAAAAAGGGTAATTCCTGTGATGTCTAGATCGTTTCTTATTTTAATAGCAAGATATGAAACCAGCAATATTAGAATGAGAGATAGTAATGCGTTTGAGAATACACGTGCTGCCAAATTAAAATTATTGACAGTCTAACTTTTGTTCCAGTGTCGAGCTTTTTTTTCCCTCCGGTGCTTTGCTGTACAGCAGGCTTTTGGGGGAATGACAACAACTTCATTCTTTTCTGGCCTGAGATCTTTCCTTCATCATTAAGTATGTATGATTTTTTTTAATACCCTTACGGGCACCGGGCCCCATCGGGCAGAGCTGAGGATTGAAATGGGTGATACAAATGTTGCAAAATGTATTCATGATATCTCTCAGGAGTCCATCATGACGTAGAAAATGCTCAATCCATTTTTTCAGTCTCTCCTTCCATTTTGTTACTAACTTCCGCTCCCCCCCCCCTCTCTCTGCAAAACTTCATTATTTGTCACCCTATTCACCTTACTTATCTTTGCCATCTTCCTTCATAGCCAAAATTATTTATTATATGTGGAGAACTGTTGTACGTCGAGTTTTCCCATTTATAAAGCCTATGAAATCGAAATCAATAATCGTGTATAATATACAAAAACAAATATAACCAAGATGAATATCATTATGATAGACATATATTAATACAAAATGAATAATGCATATACATAAGAAAACTAAATAAGTTTTGTTCTAAACATTTATGATCGGGGATGACTAGTGAAAATATACTTCACTAAGAGATAATATGCCAAAATAAACCTTCAAATTAGACGTGAAATGTTAAACAATCGCATTTCTCTCAGTGACAAAGAAGTTGCATCGGAAGATTAATGCAGCGAATGAGAACAAAATCAGCGCTCGATGGCGCAAATTTTGTAGGGTTTTGGCTTCATGGTGATCCCGTTTGCTCCACACATGCTCGGGGTTGGTTGGTTAGGAGGAAGCTTGAATTCAAACTGCTGGAAGAGATTGGTAAACAGGAGGAAGGCTTCCATTTTGGCCAGCTGACTACCAACACAATCACGACGACCTGTGTTTAACAGGAAAAGAACAAGCGCCTTGATGAAGTTCTTATCTTGGCACGTAATGGCACGCATAAGTAACATAAGTATACTTTAAACTCTTCAATGTTAGGCAAAAAAGGAATGCGTTTGATTAAGAAAATTTTTATTTTTCTTTAAAGGAAACCTAACCCCAAAGAATAAGTGTAGGTATTCTGAAAAATGATATGTATTCCTACCCTTTGATGTACAATATTCCTTACGAAAATGTACAAGATATATATAAATGAAGATATTCCTGGCATGATGTGATGCCTTTTAGCATGACATGGGCGCAGCCATTTTCTTGAAAATGTGACGTACCTATTGAAGTTGTACAGGTATCATGAACCAAGCTTTAGTTGGAAAGAGTTTTTGAATCAATAACGAAACCTTTACTTTTCAATGAAAAAAAAAATGATAACTGAGATGATAGAAATTATATTTGGTGAACAAATAAATAGCAGGGGAACAATTGTAAATTCATTTATAAATACTACACTATAGCAGTTGACAAATCTATTTCATTTATGAGAAACCTTCACCTCAGAAGAGCACTAACTTATTTATACAATTGCGATCTGCAATTGTAGTACAAAGGATAATAGCAGGTGAATGAAATGCTTCATCACCACACGCGTCTGGGAAAGAAGCATCCATAAATTTGAATTCATTTACTTGATAAACGACTTCGCATAGTACTTCACATTATCAAGAAAATGGCGATGCCAATGTCGTGCTGAGAAACTGTACATTATTCTTGCTTTATACCTCTCTCATACATTTTAGTTGGGAATCTTGTAGCTTTATGGGCAATAATATAATAAATCTCTCAGAATAAGTAAAGTTATTTCTTGGGGTTCGATTTCCTCTAAATCAATGTTGGAAATACGGCACGCTGCCTAGTTACAAAAAACTATCCTCTAACTCAGTGGGAGCGCCCAACACCATATCCAAATTGATGATTTCGATACGCCACCGATTCCAAAAGCAACCCGGAGGGCATTGATAATTAGAGCATCGTTATTGCACAATATATTGATACAAAGACGATACCGGAAAGGGGCCAGGGATTATTACCCCCCTCCATTATCATTGTCATTATAGCCTTACCAACACCAAATGGCATCCACGCATCGTTCATCTGGAATTGTTTTCCATCAGCACTGAGAAAACGATCCGGGTTAAATTTGTCTGGTTCATTCCATTCCTTGGGATCATGATGAACAGCATACAGGTTTGGAATAATGATGCTTCCCTTTGGAATCGTAAAGCCTCGGAATGAAACGTTATCTGATGTCATATGGGGAACTGAGACCGGGAGGACTGGGCGTATTCGCATGACCTCTGTTAGAGTAGCATTGCAGTAGGGCAGGTCTGGACGATCAAGAGTATTCGGTTGGCGGCCACGCCCAACAACAGTATCCAACTCAGTTTGTACCTATAGAGGTTGAAAACATAATGATGTTTTTTCATTATTCAATAAATAATGCAGAATTCATATTATATGTAAAGGAATTATGATGAGGAGGATGATATCGATATTAATAGGGGTAACGATGATAATTTTTGATTTCGTAGCATGTTGCCTTACAAAGAAGTCGAATTGTAGGGGCATAAATAGACATATACTGTATGTAGAACCCGAAACTGTTACTCAGTTTTATGCCGAGTTTTGACTTTGCTGTAAAGCATTTCCCGATTTGTCTTTTTTAATTTCCGGACGTTTCTTACGGTGCCAAATTTTGATAAGCTACCAACCTTTCTTTGAACATCTGGGTGAACAGATAGAAACAGAATCGCCCAAGAGGTAACCACCGCCGTGGTGTCGGTACCACCTGCAAAGAAATCAAGCAAAACTCGCCAGAAATGCTCCAACTTGAATTCCTTGGATATGTCGTCTGCTAAGAACGCGTCAGTGAAGTCCCGAATGTTGTCTTTCTGAAACGTTTCTTGATGGCTTTTGAGATGGGACATAATGAAATCCCTGTCAGAGAAAATAGATTCACGGTAGCGCTTGTATCTTTGAATTGATGTATGTATGAGTGGTTCGAAGATGTTCACTAGATCCGTTTCCGGAATGAGGGTGAGGGTTTCGTTCATACGCTCAAGAACCCTGCTCATCTCGCCATCACTGTATTCGTATCTCTGACTAAATAGAAGTTGACAAATGATATTAGCGGTTGCCTTGCTAAATGTGGTTAATAAATCTGTGGGTTCTCCACGAAGATTTCTGATTTCCTCTGACAGGTAACGTGCCTCCAGATTAATCTGAGGTACCAGGCTCTGCTTCCCAAATCCAAAGGAGCGCAGAGCAGGAAGAGAGAACCTCCGTAAGTCGACCCATGGTTTGCCATTACTATGAGCAATGGTAGCTGCATAAAAAGAGAAAAATATCATCGAAAAGATTAAAAGATTTCCTTGCAAATGACTTACAAATTGGGTATCCTGTGAGAATAATTTTTTTAATGAGCCCAACTTTTTCTGAACTATCACCAACAGAATTTTAAATTCCGCTTACCTATACGAACGAGCCAGCAGAACCCCCCTTCAAGGATATTGAACTATAATATTCGGGGCAACCGTCTACTTATATTTAAAAAGCGAGATGCTTACATTCAGGCAGTTCAGGTAAATTTGCTGCAAAGGAATCTACCACAGTCTAGACATTAGCCAACGAATATTCTTTGTCTACAATTCTTTATTAATCCATTTATTTTGTTTATTTATTCTGTGTTCTGTATACGGAGAGCCTCTTCACTAAATGAAAACTGCTTTGCGAGAAAGCCTCGGATTACATAATGCAATTGAAATGCAATGTAAAATTATAACAAAACAATATCAAGTAAAATTAAAGTACATATAAATAAAACAAGAGAAAATATGTGGACTGATAATGAAATCAAGTATTACCTGTTTCGTCATGATACATAAATCATTTAAAAATATATTTTTATCAATATCGATCAAATACAACAGAGGGAACAGTTTTCATTCTCCAATCCCTTCCTCATTTGTATTTCACCACATCATATATGGCTTTAAATTAATGTATGGAGCTCTCACACTCTGCCGTGTAGGCCTACCGTCCACCTGCCGGGCTATTAAAAAAAAAAACAGAGTCCAGAACGTTGGGTTTTGAGCGAACTTGTCCCCGGCCGCAAAAAAAATTCATAAAATTAATCTTTTCACCGTTTCGTTGCCATCTTCTGACCGTTCTCACCGGTCGCATACCGGGTGTTGAACGTGCTTCTACCGTCTTCACCGCCCAGATTGACTTTTGTTGAAAATTTTGGCCGTTTCCATACCGGGTCTCGAACGTGTGCACCGGGTTTGTAGCAGCCACCTACCAGTCACTTAGCGTCCCCTCAGCGCTCGGAGCGTCCTGTGAGCGAGTCCCCGGACTGCTGACGTTCATGACACGTTCACAACCCGCTTACAACCCGTTGCAGACGGTGGATTTTTTTTTTGCCCGTTCATCACCGTTCTGTAACGGGTTATGAGCGTGTTGTGAACGTGTTCATACAGTGTGACCGTTTTCATAACGTATTCATACCGTCCTCATACCGTTCAACACCGTCCTATTGCCGCTTACTTGCGGCCGGTGCCAGCCGGCCAAAGTTTTGAACATGCCCAAAACTTTCGCCGGGTCCCACCGGGTGTAAATAAGCGCCAACGCCCTATTAACGTGTTGCCCGCTTTGATAACGAACCACCGTGTGCCCTCGCCGTTCTCCCCCGTCCGCAGACATTTTCGCGCACGGTGGCACACGGTAGGCCTACACGGCAGAGTGTGAGAGTCACTTAAAGCTATGGTCACAAATCTGAGCGGCGACCGACCGATTAGTAGCCTGCTCGGTCGCAGCTGGAATTTAGGCATCGCCCAGAGATTTTTGGAGAAGTCGAGCAGTCTGTACGATACATGTGCGGTGTCCTGTCGATTTCCCGTCGGTCGCCGGTCGATTTTATGTCAAAATTGGGCGAAATCGGGGAGCTTCTCTGGGCGGCGTCCCGGCAGTGACCGACTGAGGACCCACCGATTCCCAATCGGTCTCCCACCGGCCACCGGCTGATTTTAAAGAAATTGCCTGGCGGCCGGCCGGTGATCGGCGGGCCATCAAAATACGCTTGGTGTCCGGGCGTTCGCCGTCGAGCGACTTGGGTCAAAACTCGAATCCGCTATATAGGTCAAACGCTGCCGACCGATTTCTGACTCGCCGCCGAGTAACCGGCCGATCTCCAAGCGGCGACCGGGCAGTGACCGGGCGGCGACTGCTCGCCAGCCTTTCACCTAGCGGTTTCGATTTTTGACCTAAATCTCTCGACGGTGAACGCTCGATAAAGTCGTTGCCCGGGCGGCGACCGCCCGAGCACCGAGCGTACTTTGGGCAGCGAGTGGAAGTGAGCAGACGCCGCCGAGCAGGCTCCTTTTAGGTGGTGCGACCAATGGGCAAGTTATAAACTAAATTATGAAGCTCAAACTATGCATTAATGGTTAACCACTCTAAGTCATTTATTATACAGGTGAAAAGAGCACTTTGGGGGCAATGCCGCCTGACCCACCCCCCCGGAAATAACTCGTTTCCTAACTATCAGTGCCAACGTACTGTGCCCCTCTACTCCCGTGACTCCTGGGCCTAGGTCCGTATCTACTTTTAAAACTTACTCAGTACCATGTTATACAAAGGTGTCCAATCTTCTCTTGCTTATTATCATCTTGGGAGTCTTTCTTGCATGGGACTAAGTCAGGATTAATACTTTCGCAAAGATCAAAGACAATTGAAAAACAAAATAAACAAAAAGCAATTCGAAAAGCGTCATCTTTGAAATGAATCGGCCCTATGGTTTTGGAATGATACGAAGTTCAACCTTTTAAATACTTAAAATACCGATACATCTGAACTATGAATCTTACCTTTCTTTCCAGGATCAGGTATTCCCCAATTAAAGTGTCCCGGTACAAACCGATCCGAGAAGAATTCTCCTGACTTTACCAGAGCCTGTGTGATACTCTCCCTGTCATTCAGAACAACGAAGACAAACGAACCTCTCCGCAAACTGAAAATAGGGCCGTACTTCTTAGCCAGGTCCATGAAGGCTTCGTGGATAAGACCTGGTTTAAAGTTATACCCGATGATTGGGAGCGACCATGGCCCAGGTGGGAGGTTCTTGGGTCTCCGGACGACCCAGAAGCAGAGGAGAAAAATCACCACTCCTAGAAACACAGATGTTGCCGACAGTTCGAACATTTTATGTGATATTAATTAACGCAAGTCCAAAGTGTGGGCCAATGTGCAGTAAGAACTCTCAAACTGCTCAGACGTCTAGCAAAATATTGTATGGATTGTTGTCTCGCACTGAACCGCTTACCTGATGCAGACGAACAAACCGATATACAAATTTCAATAGTCTAACACACTCGAAGCTGTGTATGGGGGAAATAACATATAATACAAACAGGAGGCTAGCCATGCTATACACGTCACAATAAACGTGCCTGCCCTTCAACCAATCAGATAGATATTAGAGGTCACATTGGTCAAAAAACGTTCAAAGTCCTAATGGAAGTTATTAAACTAAATATTTGTCTTAATTCATGGTCTGTCAAATTTCTCGTTTCTTGTCCCCTCGTTCTTCCTTTTTGAGGTCCACCTCATTATTTCATATTTTTTCTTCAAATGATACAATTCCCTCGTACTATGAGCTTCTAAAGTACACGTATGAACATGTTTAAATGAAATTTAAATGACAAAGTCGGTATAGAAAATATTTTAATATTATTTTTGTACAGGAAAAAACGCTAAAGATCGTGGAAACCTACTTTACTTAAAACGGACAGCTAGGACAGGGTACTAGGAATTTTACATGACCTTAAATCTTTTTTCTCCTTCAATTTGCCATTCGGATACTAGGTGTGATGGCGGGGATTCAGCTTATTCATGTTAAGATTTGAGATACACAATGTAGCGTTTCTTTTCCCTCAAACGGTATATATCATGATGCAAACATAGGAAATGAATTTGGAGCAACGCCTCTTCCTTGCATTCGAATCTCTTTTCCCAATTCTTCTGGGCAATTCCATAGAAAATGTTTATTTGCAAAAAAAAATAATATCTGCGAAACTTCGAGAAAACAGTTTGGGCTACCCTGACAAATTTAGTATCAAACAAAAGGCTTCAACAACCGTTGAGTTGTGTATCAATAGGATTTAACTAAGTTAAGCGGATTTTTCTTTTTAAAAAGACAACTTTTGGGGCAAAATGTAGCGACAGTTTGTATGGTTAAAACGTCTTTTCATATTTAGGTCTCAGTTCTTTACGCCCAAGCGCTTTAATTATTATTTTATGGTATTAAATTGTGATGAACGAAATAAAGGTTACTGCTACGAGCTTTTCATGGTCCATAGCAATTGTGAGATCGAAGCTAATGGGTATATAAAGAGCGGACCCATGTGTAATGTCCGTTACTCACATGCTTCAATATGAATATGAGTACTCCACTCTACTTGTTGAGCTTCCAAAAGGAACGTATCAACATCCATTCCCGAGGAAAATTACCCCTACCCCTGAAAATTTTCCCTAGGACAATTACCTCCCTCCAGGACAACCAAGAACAATCACTCCCGAGGCCAAGTAAAAGGGAAGTCTACTCCGATAATATTTTGGTATTAATAAAAGCAGAATTTTTCGGGGGGTAATTGTCTGTGGGGAAGGGGATATAATTGTCCAAGGGGGTATTTGTTCACGGGTACAGTGGTCCTTAGGGGTAATTGTCCCGCTCGCTGGTAATTGGCTGGGGGTGATTATCCAGTGGGTAATTGTCATAGAACCTCTGTTAGTGTTGTCCTTTTGCAGCCAACATTAAATTCTGTAGAACATTGCAGGAATTAAGAATATGTCACGTACGTCCTGTCTGTGAAATTTAATTTAAAACTTGCTATGATAATATTGGACTCGTCTCCGACTCCTTCAATATTTTCATAGCTCAAGCAATATATTCTTGTATCACACTCGAAGTCATCCAATTTTATATAAATATTTATTTAATATTTTATAACTTTCTAACTGTTTATCGAATTTTCCTCAAACTTTCACTTATCTTTTTACCCATTTATATGTTTGTGTTAAAACCAACTCGTTGCCTGATTGGACTTTTCCTTAAAGCCCCCATCATACCAAACTAGTTCTCACTACGTTCTGAGAAATGTTGCCAAACGGGCTCAAACTGTGTGTGAATGGAGTTGAATGTAGTATCAATTGTTTACGATCTGTTTAAGAACTTCATGGACGGGCTCGGACTGGCTAACACGGGAGAGTGCCTTAGAACTTTGATCCTGTTCAAATTTTCCCCGTCGTGCAATTAGACGGAGTAACAATGTACCCTGGGTGAAAAAATAATAACAAATAGTTATCTTTATTATTATCGTTATCATTATTTACATGGACTTTGGATTGTTGAAAAGGACTTGACTAATCAAATTCGGCTCACAGACTAAGGTCATTAGGGACTCTGCGACTGTAGAGTAATGAGCAGATTCGACCATGGTATAATATGTTGGTAATTTCACAACACGCATGGGAAACGTTTTAATGTTTCTTATTCATACAGAAAGGGGCATACACATTTTGTCTCCCAGAGGACAACGAATTCTTCCTTTTCGCTCCTCAGATATTATCGTCATAAAGTCACAAAGTACTGCAACTCATTTCATCTCTACTTCAATATACCTGTACACTAATTCCTTTTATTCAAAGCATTTTTCTCTCCAGACCCTGAGCCCCCCCCCCAATCCCACACCCCTCTCTCTCTCTCCCCTCTCTCTCTCTCTCACACACACACATATGCAAACACAAACACACACACGCTTAATTTTCACCTATCCTTCGCCACGATCTCTCCCACTCTCACATCATATCAGTCATCATGAAGATATGTATACGTTACACGCGGGAGCACGAGCATAGATGGGTAATGCCCTCTCTTTATTTCCCAATTGTGTTTTTTTCATTCGGGATAGAGCTCAATTGGTGTGTTTACAGTTATTATTCTCTGTATTAATAAGGTATACCCCAGAATCCTAACCGCGGACCCTGTGATCCACAGCCTAACGACGTATCCACTAGACCACAACACCTCTAAATAAAGTAGAGTCGTTATATCTCAGAGTAGGCATAGTTTACTTAATAATCCATGTTTATCTCATAACAGGAAAACTAGGTTAAATCATCAATTCATAATGTAACGAATGGAATAAAGGGCTATTTTTTCGACGACTTGAACTGAGTCTCTGATTATATATTTACAATGTATTACTCCTAATTAGAAATTATCTAAGATTATTTTCTAATACCCCATTTTTCAACGACCTGAACGATTAAACAGGATGATTTAGAAATTTAATATCGCCTTGGCGTCGAGTTGGCGTTGTAACTGTAACGGATGTATAATGTTGCATTAATGATACCGAAATGTAAAAAAAAAAAAAAAAAAACCGCCACCGTTTAGAGTTGCATATATGAACAAGGCATTACAGTTGCTAACCAGGGTGAATCTTCTAAATTTTGTTAGATTATAATGACAATCCTCAGTTATAGTTTGATCGCGCATGATAACAAAATATAAGCGCTTTGCGAATGATAATATAGGTATTTACGAAAAAAAAAAGAAGTAAAATGATATTTTACAAGAGATTGATAGGGAATTTTGCTACTTGAGTAACAAAATGCATATTTATGGCAAAATATTTGCAACAAGATATAGGAAGATAGAGTTGCGTTGGAAAACATCAAGTTAAAGTTATTGGAAATTAAAATTGGTTCCAGTGTCAAGTTTTATTTTCCGTATCTCCCTCTGGTGCTCTGCTTGTACAGTAGTTTTTTTGGGGCATGACAAAAACTCCATTCTTTCTGGCCTGAGATCTTTTCTTCATCTGTTGGTATGTATCATTTTCTTTGATACCATCCAACTCCATAATTCTGTTCCTTCCCCTTTGTCTTTTTCCTTCCATCCTTCCATCAATGCTATCTGTCAGGAGTCCATCAGGATGTAGAACTTTCGCTCCTCCCCCACTCTCTGTAAAACATCACCATTTGTTACTCTATATACGCACATTATCTTCGCCATCTTCCTCCACAAGCAAATTTCAAAATCTTTCTCATATTTTCTCAATTCTTTTCTTTAGGTACTTTTTAAGTTTTTTGCTGGTGAGAATTCGATGCTTTCAAAGAGATTCCTTTGGCCATGAATAGGGACTTTTAGATTGAGTGGTCGAGAACACGACGAACGCCGACTGATCATGCGTGTCAACGTACTCAACTGCCCATGTTGACTACAATTAGAAATCTCTGTGTGCGTTTATTGACCAAATTTTGGGCTAGAATCAGGTTTCTCAAACGTCTTTCAGGCAAATTTAGAAGGTGATAAACGCAAAGCCTTTTTTTAAAGGTCTTTAGATATGGGCAAAGACGCAAAAAGGTGTGTTTTGAATGTGACATACAGCCAGAATCACGTTTCTGAGAGATGATAAACGCAAAGCTGTTTTGAACCCCACATACAAATCGGACCACCCAGGTTAATTTCCGGTTCGGAGGCTAGCGCGCCCCATGTGTTGTGTACAAGCATGTGTGTGTAGTTGACCTCTGAGAAACTGTCTGCTTCCCGGGTAAAACAGCTGTGCAGACACAAGGCCTTTATTTTGAATCGTGAAGAGACGATAAACGCGACAACCCGCAAATCACTTTCGTATAGTGGGGTATGATAGTGGAGTACGATATGTACATATCTAGTGGCAAGACCCAATAAACGCAACCTTAGATTGCACTCAACGATAAACATGCATGCAGGAAGTAACACTATGAACATGACGGACAAAAGAACATCCCTTTCACTGGTATTATGTAAAACATGTGTAGAACAGGGGAATATGCATTTGACACCTGTTCTACACATTTTTACATAATAGCAGGGAAGGGATCGATGTTCATTTGTCTACCTGAGGAACTGTATATTTTATGCGGCATACTAGTACCGTACTAGATTTAGGAAAATCAAGGTTGACGCATTCTCGATCGCCGACTGAGATGACGTGACGCATGTGCAGTGCCTTAAAATGACGTCATGCGTTGCAGTCAAAGCTGTCGACGTGCACATCTAAAAGTCCCTAATTGCTACTCTGGTTCGTACTTCCTTCTGACATGAACCATTGTAACTATTGTCCTCCAAAATTTGAATTGCGTAGCTTGCTCCAGTGTTTCACCATAGCGTGATGTGAATGCAGCTGGGATTCTGTCTAAACTTCATCACCTTTGTCCTATTTATGTTTATCCTCCTACCCCAACGCTTTCATTTATGCTGTTCATCATAATTGTCAGTATAAGTATAAACAAATCATTCCAATTGGCTAAATGCAATGGCTACATGCAATGGACAGGTGTATAAAACATGGTATAAAACGTAACGACTTATATGAATTTGAACTCACTGTCTATAAATTATTCTAAAAGTATGGATATGTATTAAAGATAAACTTGAGTTCTGGTAAAAAAAGAAAATGAATTCTCACTGAATTTAATGAAACTTACACTGAATGTTCAAGGTTACAAATAAATGTCATGTGCCAAACAATTTTGGAAGAAAATGTATACTGGCTGAGTAATAAGCATAGAAAGATAAGGAAATCAGGGTAGTACTAGCCCCGACACCATGTGTGTTGTCCCATAAACATCTTTCTGTGTAAGTGATTGTTACTTTACCAAGACTCTGCCAAATTTATGATGATTTTGAAGACTCCTAAACCTTGCATTACACACCATTACTTACATGCTATATGATCAACTTTTCTGATCAATTCCACACCTTTTCTTTCACAATGCAATCGCATTACCAGAACTCAAGTTTATCTTTAAGTTGAACTATTGGGTATCATAAAGTTCTAGAATCATCTTAATAGGGAGTTTATAGATAGCACATGGTACAAATGACCCCAAATATCCACAGATCTTTTACACATGGAGAAGTTCCACTTTGAGCATCTTAAAATAATAACTGCCAAAGTCCTTGATGTGCTTCGTGAATACCTTTTGTTTGCCCTCTTGAAAAGAATACTTCCACCTGCGTATCTTAGAATGTACCGTTAATGCATAAATGAATAATGTTCACATAACTTTCATGAGCGCATAACCAGTATTCATCTCTGTGGGTTTTACATTTTTGGTACAAATGACCTTTATCTGCTCATGCTCAGACTGCAACCGTAAACTGGCTTATTATGGCAAATTGACATGAAATAGAGTGGGGAAACTGGAAGAGAAAATGGTATGCCTATATGGCCTGCACCAATGATTGTTATCAGAACATGAGAGCAACTGTTGTTTTTTTTTTCTCGAAAATCAAAAATTGATTATTTTTAGTAAGGCTAGTCGTATTTACAACATGAACGTTTAAAAAAAAAAAAGTTTTTTTCGTTAAATAAAGACAAATTTTCTTTCACATGGAAATGAAAAAGCTATTTACCTGTACATTGAATTATATACTAACTGTGGAGAATTGATGTACGTCGGGATTTTATATTTGAAAAACCCACGAAATTGTAAATCCCTAATCGTGTACAAACAAAAATAATTATAACGAAGATGAATGATCATTATGATAGACATATATTAAATACAGCATGAATAATGCATTATACATAAGCAAACTGAGTACGTTTTTTCTAAACAATTATGTTCGGGGATGACTTGTGCATATATACTAAACTAATATATAAGATGCCCAAATAAACCTTAAAACTAGTCGTAAAAACAATCGTGTTAAACAATCGCATTTCTGTCACTGACAAATTAATTGTATTGGAACTTTAATGAAGCAAATGAAGACAAAATCAGCGCTCAATGGCGCAAATTTTGTAGGGTTGTGGATTCATGGTGAATCTATTCGCTCCACGCATGCTTGGGTTTGGTTGGTTAGGAGGAAGCTTGAATTCAAACTGCTGAAAGAGATTGGTGAACAGGAGGAAGGTTTCCATTTTGGCCAGCTGACTACCAACACAATCACGACGACCTGTGTTTTACAAGAGAAAAACGAGTGCCTGGTGTGAGTTCTTATGTTAAACTACAAAATACAATCACTGATTTATACCAATGGTCAGCTAAAAATAATATGACTTTGAATCCGTGCAAGTGTTTTTCTATGGTTATAACATTTATGAAAAATTGTGAAGAACAAACTTCAATTTTCATTGGCGACAAAGAATTAATTTATGTTCATCAAGCCAAAGTCCTCGGAATAATGTAACAATCAAACCTAAAGTTGGATAGTCATGTATCCGATCTCACAAAAAGGTGTAATAGGAAGTTGTTTATGTTTCGTTGCCTTAAGAAGTATGGATTGCCTGTAGATGACCTTTTACTTATATATAAAGGATACATTCGTTCGATTTTAGATTATGGGGTACCGGTTTTCAATGGTAATTTAACAAAAACTCATGTATATATTTTAGAACGTATTCAGAAAAGAGCTTGCAAAATCATTTTAGGACGTCAGTATAAAAATTATGAAGCAGCATAAGAAACGTGCAATCTACGTTCATTAGAAGCAAGACGTGAGCAGTTATGTATAGACTTTGCCAATGCACTTGTCAAACACCCACAATTTAAAGAATGTTTACCTTTTAGACAACAAAGCACTTATTCTCTAAGATCTCAATCAAAGTTAAACAATACCAATGTAAAACAAAACGCTTCCAGTGCAGCTCTCTTCCTTACTTTATAAATCTTCTGAATAAAATGTAATACCAACATAAATTGTATTTTTTCTCAATCTTCTGCATTACTAAATATTTCTTGCCATCTCCCCTCATTTGTAATGATAAGGTACCCTTTGTCTGTCTCTTCCTCTCTTCAACTCTCTCTCTCTCTCTCTCTCTCTCTCTTTCGTCCCTCTTCTCTCCTTCTCTCTCTTTGTCATCACTCCAACTATCCCTCTCCTACACCTCTCCCCATCTCTTTCTTTTTTTAACCAAAATTTGAATTTGATCAATGAATTTTTATGAAATGTCTGTATGTTTGATTATTGATTTATGTCATATTTTGTGTTATTTCAATTTGAATCGCAATTGTATTGTATATAACCTTGTGAAATGGATCGCAATTCAGCCATTGGCTGCGATGATCTTTTTAATAAAAACCATTTCTATCTATCTATGACCGTGTTTTGTTTCATGCGCGTAAATAACATAAGTATATTTTAAACTCTTCAATGTTAGGCAAATAAGGGATGATTATGGTTAAGAAAATTTAAAATTTTCTTTAAATTAATGTTGGATATCTCTCAGAATAAGTAAAGTTATTTCTTGGGGTTCGGTTTCCTTTAAATCAATGTTGGAAATACGGCACGCTGCCTAGTTACAAAAAACTATCCTCTAACTCAGTGGGAGCCGCCGCAGCGTACCCAAATTGATGATTTCGATACGCCACCGATTCCAAAAGCAGCCCGAAGGGCATTGATAATTAGAGCATCATTATTGCACAATATATTGATACAAAGACGATACCGGAAAGGGGCCAGGAATTATTACCCCCCCCCCCCCAATGATCATTGTCATTATCGTCTTACCAACACCAAATGGCATCCACGCCTCGTTCTTCTGAAATTGTTTTCCATCAGCACTGAGAAAACGATCCGGGTTAAATGTGTCCGGTTCATTCCATTCCTTGGGATCATGATGAACAGCCCACAGGTTTGGAATAATGATGCTTCCCTTTGGAATCGTAAAGCCTCGGAATGAAACGTCATCAGATGTCATATGAGGAACTGAGACCGGGAGGATGGGGCGTATTCGCATGACCTCTGTTAGAGTAGCATTGCAGTAGGGCAGGTCTGGACGATCAAGAGTATTCGGTTGGCGGCCACGCCCAACAACAGTATCCAACTCAGCTTGTACCTATGAAGGTTGAAACAAAATGACGGTGTTTTATAATTAAGTAATGCAGAATTAATGTTATGTATATGTTTTTGATGAGGAGGATGATTTCGATATTAATAGGGGCAACGGTAATAATTTTTGATCTCGTGGCATATAGCCTTTCAAAGCAGCCGAAATGTAGTGGCATGAATGGACGAGTCTTTAGCGCAAAGCCGATTATTGTAGAAGATCATGTTTGTTTTAGCAAATACTGATGTAGAACCCGAAACTGTTAGTCATTTTTATGCTCAGTTATGACTTTGCTATAAAGCAATTCCCGATTATGTCTTTCATATTTTCGGACATTTCTTTAGGTGCCAAGTTTAAACAAGCTACCAACCTTTCTTTGAACATCTGGGTGAACAGATAGAAACAGAATCGTCCAAGAGGTAACCGAGGCCGTGGTGTCGGTACCACCTATAAAAAAATCAAGCAAGACTCGCCAGAAATGCTCTAACTCGAATTCCTTGGATATGTCGTCTGCTAAGAACGCGTCAGTAAAGTCCCGGATGTTGTCTTTCTGAAACGTTTCTCGATGGCTGTTGAGATGGGACATAATGAAATCCCTGTCCGAGAAAATAGATTCACGGTAGGGCTTGTATCTTGGAGTATGTATGAGTGTTTCGAAGATGTTCACTAGATCTGTTTCATGAATGAGGGAGAGGAATTCGTCCATACTCTTAAGAATCCTGCTCATCTCGCCGTCACTGTATTCGTATCGCTGACTAAATAGAAGTTGACAAATGATATTAGCGGTTGCCTTGCTAAATGTGGTTGCTAAATCTGTGGGTTCTCCTCGAAGATTTCTGATTTCCTCTGACAGGTAACGTGCCTCCAGATTAATCTGAGGTACCAGGCTCTGCTTCCCAAATCCAAAGGAGCGCAGAGCAGGAAGAGCGAACCTCCGTAAGTCGACCCATGGTTTGCCATTACTAAAAGCAATGGTAGCTGCATAAAAAGAGAAAAAATAGCATCGAAAAGATTAACACTTGCAAATGACTTACAAATTTGGTATCCTTTGAGAATAATTTTTTTAATGAGTCCAACTTTTTCTGAACTATCACCAACAGAATTTTAAATTCCGCTAACCTATACGAACGAGCCAGCAGAACCCCCCTTCAAGTAAATTGAACTATAATATTCGGGGCAACCGTCTACTTATATTTAAACCGCGAGATGCTTACATCAGGCAGTTCAGCCTAACTGTTGCAAAGGACTTATAATCGTCGGCAGAAAAACAACCACATTTTCTCGCATGGACCCCACTACACAAATCTACCACAGTCTAGACAGTAGCCTAGGAATATTCTTTGTCTATAATTCTTTATTAATATATTTATTTTGTTTATTTATTATTTGTTCTGTATAAGGGAGCCTCTTCACTAAATGAAAACTGCTTTGCGAGAAAGCCTAGGATTACATAATGCAATTGAAATTAAAGTACGTAATAAAATATAACAAGAGAAAATATGTGGACTGATAATGGAAACAAGTATGGGCTTTTTCATCATAATACACAAATCATCTAAAAATATACTTTCACCAATACCGATCAAGTACCACAAGGGGTATACATTGAGAACAGTTTTCATTCCCGAATCCCTTCCTCATTTGTATTTCACCACATCATATATGTCCATAAATGACTGTAAGTCAATGTGTCGGCAAGACATTAAGCAGGTTATAAGCTAAAATTTAAATGATAAAGCTCAGATTATGCATTTTTTAATTGTTGTTCACCACTCTAAGTCATTTAATATACAAGTAAAAGCAGCACTTTGAGGCGATGCCGACTGACCCCTCTCCCATCTACGCTTAAAGAGAAATAACTCGTTTCCTAACTATCAGTGCCAAAAACGTGCACTGTAAAAAAAAATAATAGTCGAAATAACTCAATAAAATTGAGGAAAAGAATTGCCTTATTTTTATTAAGTAAATATTACCTACGGCATCTTAAATTCTTAAGTAGAATTAATTATTTTGCTGAATAACTTTTTACTCAGTTAAATCGAGTTTCATTAACGTAAATAATTTAAGTATTGTAATCATTTTAGATAATTAAAAAAAAGCTATGATAGGATTACATATTGCACGATTTGGTACCCATCTAATCTAACAAGTAACATCCACTAATCATACACTACTTCTATTTAAGATTAATCACTAATCACTAACACTACTTCTATTTAAGATTTAACCGTATATATATATATATATCTACCACCATCACAAATTATATACCTCACTTAAGTAATCCAGCAATCTGATTGGTCGAAATCGCATTCATAAACTTTAACTGTTCCCGAAAATTCCCGGTAACCATGGTTAAAAAACAGTTCAAAATCCCAATAGCCATGGTTATTGGGAAAATAGTTCAGTCTTGGTGAAATACCCATAGGTTTACATGTTAAAAAATGGTCTGAGCGATCGAGGATACCGTACGTGTGCGAAGAATTGGTCGGTAATTTCAATACAATTGAATCTCGATCGATCTTACCGACAATTTTATCTTGCATTGTTGACATGAAGACGAAAATAAACTTCCAAAAACAGAAAAACAACATTTGCCGATAGATCTTGATCTAAGTTCGTGCCAATATGCATTGCAAAAGTAAAAGAAGGGCCCGTTTAATGGAGCAGCGGCGAAGCATCGACCACGCGAAGCCGTTTTCAATTCATTTTAATGTATATATTAAAGAAAACTACCGTGCATGGTGACAGAGCGCGCTGGCCGAGCGGATTAATGCGCTGACTTTAATATCATCACCTTTTGTACGCAAGAGTTCGAATCCCATCTTCGACATTTTTTTTTTCGGCATATAAAAGTATTAATGACTGCTTTAATATTCGAGAAATAGTTGTTTTTATACGCTCTCGGGAAGGTTACAATTGGGCTGTTCCCCTCGGCACGCCTCGGGTAATAGCACAATTCTAACCTTCCCTTGAGCGTATAAAAACAACGCCGAGGGGAATAGCCCAATTGTAACCTTCCCGAGAGCGTATAAAAACAACTATTTCTCTCAAAGCAGTCATTAATACTATACTATTACATACGCTTCAATTCGACACATATTGAAAGGCTCCAAATTTTATATATACTTGATCGTAGCATCTTAAAAGGAAAATTGGTTGACAATTTCCTGCAATATCAAGTTTTGATTTGTTTTGAACTGGGTAACAATTAAAATTTGTCTTGTCTTTGCTTAGCCATGTTAAATAAATTAGTAAATGTTTTAAAGTCCTTAAATTTTCATTCAACCACAAAAAAAGAATTGTTTTATTTAAAAAAGAGTTTAATTTGGTCTTAATGAATATTCATAAATTATGTAAATATTTCTATTACGCACTGCATCGGTCCTTACTTTAAAAAGATAAGAAAAATCAACATAAATCGTTTGAGTAATACGTATAATTCCTGATTTTGAGTTAAAATTACTAAATTAATACAAGCTAAAATTACTTAAAGTTCTTATGTATTTGATTTTACTTAAATATTCCACGTATGTTCTACTAAATTGAAAGTTTGAGTTAGCAAGACTTAAATTTAGTGCGTAAGTGGCAAAACTAATGTTTTCAAGTAAATTCTACATGGAAAAAATACGTAAAAATTACCAATGAACAAATTCTTTTTTACAGTGTGTTGTGCCCCCCCCCCACATACATGTAATCGATCGAGGCCAAAAAAAGGGGTCTACAAAATTTCAACCGATCCTGGAAATTGAAGGGGGCACGTGCCCCCCCCCCCTCACCCCCCCCCCCCCCCCCCCGTGGCTACGCGCCTGCTCCCGTGACTCCTGGGCCTAAATCCGTATCTACTTTAAAAACTTTACCAGCACTACTTGCTACATCCCAAGGGATCCAATCTCTTCTCTTGCTTACTCTCATATACACCTTGTATACAGGTCTTGGAAGTCTTCCCTGCATGTGACAAAGTCGAGATTAATACTTTCCTAATGATCAAAGACGATTAAAAAACAAAATATACAGAAAACAATTTACAAAGCGTCACCTTTGAAATGAATCGGCCCTATGGTTTTGGAATAATACGAAGTTCAACATTTAAATACTTGCAATACCAATACATGTGAACTATGAAGCTTACCTTTCTTTCCAGGATCCGGTATTGACCAATTAAAGTGTCCCGGTACAAACCGATCCGAGAAGAATTCTCCTGACTTTACCAGAGCCTGTGTGATACTCTCCCTGTCATTCAATATTACGAAGACAAACGAACCTCTCCGCAAACTGAAAATAGGGCCGTACTTCTTAGCCAGATCCATGTAGGCTTCGTGGATAAGACCTGGTTTAAAGTTATACCCGATGATTGGGAGCGACCATGGCCCAGGAGGGAGGTTCTTAGGTCTCCGGACGACCCAGAAACAGAGGAGAAAAATCACCACTCCTAGAAACACAGATGTTGCCGACAGTTCGAACATTTTATGTGATATTAATTAACGCAAGTCCAAAGTGTGGGCCAATGTGCAGTAAGGACTCTCAAACTGCTCAGAGGTTTAGTGAAATACTGTATAGATTGCTGTCTCGCAATGAACTGCTTGATTACCTGATGCAAACGAACAAACTGATATATAACTCGAGTCTTACACTCTTGAAGCTGTGTATGGGGAAATAACATATAAATACAAACAGGAGATTAGCCATGCTATATCACGTCACAATATGCGTGCTTGCCCTTCAACCAATCAGATAGATATTAGAGGTCACATTGGTCAAAAAACATTCAAAGTCCTGATGGAAGTTATTAAACTAAATATTTGTCTTCATGGTCAGTCAAATTTCTCGTTTCTCGTCCCCTCGTTCTTCCTTTTTGAGGTCCACATCATTATTTCATATTTTTTCTTCAAATGATACAATTCCCTCGTACTATAAGCTTCTAAAGTACACGTATGAACATGTTTGAATGAATGCTAAATGACAAAAGGTATTAAAAATGTTTTAATATTATTTTTGTACAGGAAAAATTATGAAACGCTAACGATCATGGAAATCCACTTTACTTTAAAACGGACAGCTATGACGGGGTACTAGGAATTTTAAGACTTCTTTCTCCTTCAATTTGCCATTCGGATAGGTGTGATGGCGGGGATTCAGCTTGTTCATGTTAAGATTTGAGATACACAATGTAGTGTTTATCCCCCTTCCCGGTATATATCATGATGTAAACATAGGAAATGAATTTGGAGCGACGCCACTTCCTTGCAAGCAATTTTCTTTTCCTAATTCTTCTGGACAATTCCAGGGAAATGTTGATTTGCCAAAAATCATAATATCTGCGAAACTTCGAGATAGCAGTTTGGGCTACCCTGAATAATTTAGTATCAAACAAAAGACTTCAACAAGCGTTGAGTTGTGTATCCATAGGATTTAAATAAGTTAAGCGGAGTTTTCTTTAAAAAGGGATAACTTTTGGGGCAAAATGTATCACCAATTTTTACGGTAAAAACATCTATACATATTTGGGTCTCAATCTTCACAAACTGATTCAGCCGAGGACGTAGGTTCAAAACTGAGTCACGTCTTTCGGATGGTGACGTTAAAAGTCGGTCCCCAGACGTAAAAAATCATATCTGATTGATACACGTCTGTAAACACCCAAATACACACACACACACTCACGCCAAAGCGCTTTTATTTATATTTTATGGTATTAAATTGTGATGAACGGAATAAAGTTTACTGCTACAAGCTTTTCATGGTCCGTAGAACTTGTGAAATCAAAGCTAAAGGGGTATATAGAGAGTGTAAAAGAATGTAAAAGTGTAATGTCCGTTTCTCACAGGCTTCAATATGAGTACTTTTCTCTAATTTTTGAGCTGCCACAAGGAACGTATCAGGACAATTACCCCCTAGACAATCACCCAGCGGAAAATTACTCCCCCGGAAAACTATCCCCAAGGACAATAACCCCTCGGGAAATTACCGCCAGGGGGTAGTTTTCCTGGGAAAAATTTAGCGAAATGCCTTATCTTTCTTTTCACTCTTTCCATTCCATTCACACAATGATATATATTGATGGAAATAAATCTGGATCAAAATGGTGCTTAATACGAAATATCGTCTCCAATCAATTTACAGATACTATTAGGTTCTGTAACCCAAATCATTGGATTGTGCTCGTTTGTGTGTGTGTTTTTGTGTGTGAAGTATGTGTGAGGAGGGGGAAGAAGGGAGATAGAGAGAGGGAGAGAGAGACAAGGAGGAGAAACGACGAGTAGGATAGGAGAGGAATATGTCAATAGAGGGAAAGGGAGACACACAGAGAGAGAGAGAGAGAGATAGGAGAGAGAAAGAGAGAAAGGGGAGAAATGATGCGAGGGCTAGGAAAGGGATTTTAAATAGAGGGAAAGAATGTAGATCATATATAGCGCAAATCAGTTGATTATGACATTATTTAATAAAACGTCAATTCATTTGGGGTCCAACGAAGTATAAATGCCGACAGTACAGTTAGTCTGCAAGCACAAACTGTAATGTGATACTTTAACCATAATTCATAATTATCTGACAGAGAAGAAGGATGGAAAAGGAAATCCTGAAAATAGTCAATCATGACATGTAATTGTACATATATATATATATAAATGATTGAAAAAACAGTGTGTGGCAAAAATAGTCAATGGTGACTAATTGCAAAACAAAATCAAATCAAGAAAGAAAGAAAGTCTATTTCAGGAGCAGCTAAAGCACAGAGCTTAACCAGTAAGCTGTCAGCCTAGTCTTACAGTGAAATGGGTTTGTGCCTGCATACTACACTATAGTGGTGTAAGAATAAGCCTGATTTTTTAAAAGCAAATATTAATGTAAATATATATAAACTATACATTAGAATTTAAAGTACCGTTGATGAGGTCGCAGTGTGTTTAATTTATTTGGGTTTATTTAATCACTATGATTTTAAACAAATCCTGATTTCAGTCATTGCCCTATAATCACAAGTAAATTGAACGAGGTCAAACGTTTGATTTTTTTCAGTGATAAGTCTAAAGTCCTCCTGGCCATATATTGTACATACATCAACCTGATGTTGATATAACCACTATTCAGTCACTGAATTTTAGCCATTTGTTGGCATGGAGGGGGGGGGGGGGGAGAGAAAATAGTTTATTTGAATGGTTGATTCAAATATTTTCAATGCGCATGGAAGTCCAAAGTCGTTTGTAAATTCAATTTAGCGTTTAGGGTCAATACAGGGTATGAAACAATATAGATGAAGACAGTTAACAACAATCATGGCAATAGGTAAAATTATGCTTACCCAATAGGTTTCGACTACTGGTTGAATCTGTCAAAGTCCAGTAACACAGTCGTAGCCTGTGCAGTTCCACAGATAAATAATTGTTTCAGATTCCCCATGGAAAAAACTAAAGTAACTCTCGGGGACCGTGCTTTTGCTATTGCTGCCTCCAAACTATGGAATAGCTTGCCGTGAGAAATACAAAGCAATCCATCTCTCAATGTATTCAAATCCAATCAAAAAACTTATTTGTTCAATTGACAGATCTTATTTTGTAGAATTTAGTAAAAAGAAGCTCTTAACCAGCGCAGCTGAATATATTTTGTATAAAAGCTGCGCTATATAAATTTATTATTATTATTATTATATTATGTACTGAACTATATCTGTACTGTACTGTCTCTTGTACCTGTATCGAATTTCGTGACGTCTATGCGCAGGTTAAACATGGACTATTCCATGCATGAATGATAGGAAAACTCCTTTAAGAGTGGAGATGGTGCACATTTGTGTGCAGTCTTTAAATCCAGTGAAAGGTGGGTTGAATAACGACAACATAGTGAAGCGCATTGTAGTATTCACATGACGCGCTATATGATTATAATCATTGTTTTCTATGAAGGCAATCTGTTCGAAATAAAATCATTGTTTTCATCATTCGGCTCGTTTCATTGGCTTCATTCCGCAGTAATGTTCAGTGATGGAATGGTCATGTGGATAACAACATTGCATTCTTCACAAAAGAAGTTTATATACCTCATACATTTCGGACCGTTCCATCTTCTTTAATTTGAGAGCACGTTTGCTCTGGCTTTTAATCGTAGCGAGGTAAATATTTTTAGGGTAAATTCTGTTGTTGTAAAGAAAAACCAATACCAACAACAACTAAAAAAATGAATTGGAAATTTGATTGGTAACTTTTATCATTTCATGTCTTACCAGCCCCCTTTTTTAGGCAACTAGTTTGTGGCGCTCTTCAAATTCTATTTTAGCATTGAAATACTAGGGTATATAAAAGGTTGAACACCAACCGTTGGTGTCGCCCTGCAGTTGCGTTTGAGTCGAGGGTCAACTCCTTTCGTTCTTTCGGCCTTTGCAGGAGCAAATCACAGGATCACAGTTACTGTTATGTTGCAAATACCCCCATATAAAACCAAAGTAACCCTCGGGAACCGGTAATTTCTCTGTGCTGCCCCGTTATTATGGATTAAATTACCACTAGAAATAAGGAAAGCCCCATCACTAGATAATTTTAAATCAAAACTGAAAACTCACTTGTTCATATAGTATGTATAGCACAGCATTTACGATCTCTTGCAGCGCAGTAGAATATATCCACATAGTTATTGCGCTTTACAAATGAATATTATTATTATTATTATTATTATGTATCTACAAAGGTCATATCCCAAACATATCATATAGAAACAAGGCATATCAGCCTTGTTCATAATAATATCCATGATTAATCTTGAATATATTAATTTGTTTTTTTGTAGATTTTGTATATGATTTATATTTTTTCAAACAAAACATTGATGCTTAAATCTAATGACTAGAAGGAGTAGAAGTCGTTTTTCTGTTGGGAGCCAGAAGGGTATTAACTATTTGCACCAATGCACCAATATCTGTGTCCAATGCTTTTCATTGTCATTTTCAGCAAGATTTGGTCACTTTGCTATGAGTGACAATTATAAAACTCTATAATACACAAGCGTTCTTATTTACGCCATGATCCTCAAAGAGAAAGACTTATTGAGAGCGCTTCATAACTTCATTGAAACATTCCATCTTTGATCTAGTTTAAATTGCATAAAATGGGAATCAAACATCTTATACCTTGAAACATTTCCAAATATTCAATCACTTCTTGCACTTGTATTTTTAAGCCCAACGTTTGTTTTATTCTACTGTATGCCAACTTAGTAGAATAGGCATAGTCTAATTATTACCCTATTCATTAATAGTCATGTTATACATTTTTCTCTTTTGCTAGTTTCAATACTTTTTATTATTCTGTAAACTTATAGGAATACTCTCTGATAAGCGTTATACAATTTTAGTAGAAGCTGCTTTAGCTGTTTTGTCGTTCTTTTATAGTAATGGTACTGATCTAAATAATAATGATAATAGTATTGATAACAGTAATGAATGAATTCATATTATAATTATTTGTAGTAGTATTAGTAGTAGTAGTAGTAGTAGTAGTAATAGTAGTAGTAGTAAGTATAGTAGTGGTAGGTTTAATAATAGTACTATTAGTAGTAGTGTTATTATTTATATTATGAATAATTCATGAACATTTTAGTTAAAATGTACGGGATTTTCTTGTGCCAGGAATCACCAAAACTATCGCTTCTATATGCTGAATAACTCGTAGGGTTTCATTCTTGTCAGTTATCTGTCCTCTGGACTGTAGACGAAGTCAGGGACTTCACTAATTGCATTATGTTATTGGTATAGTGGTTCATTCACTGATTGATACACATACACAAACATATCTGATTGATACACGTCTGTAAAAACCCAATTTACTCTCAATCCAGGATTTGAGGGTTCAATTCCCAGCCCGGCACTAATGTTTCTTTTTGACAAGACATTAATCCAGACTTGCCACTTTCCACCCAGGTGTAAATGGGTACCTGGAAACAGCTGCGTTAATAAAAATTGCAGGTCCCGCAGGAAGAACAGTATTAACCCTAATGAGCACCCTGGGTAAAGAATACAAAATAATTATCTTTATTGATATCATGATCATTATTTACATGGAACTGAAGCACGTACGATATCTTGGACTTTGAGATGTCGGAAAATATGGGCCAATTAATCCAGACTTGCCACTCTCCACACAGGTGTAAATGGGTACCTGGAGACAGCTGCGGTAATAATAATCGCAGGTCCTGCAGGAAGAACAACCCTTATGAGTACCCTTGGTAAATAATAGAAAATAGTTATCTTTATTAATATTATTATCATTATTTACGTGGAACTGAAGCACGTACGGTGACTTGGACTTTGAGATGTCGGAAAGACATGACAAATCAACTTTGTCTCACATACTAAGCTCATTATTGGGTCTGCGACTGAAGAGTAATGATAAGTTTCGATCATGATATGAAATGTTGGTAATTTCACAACACGAATGAAACATTTTCATGTTTCATGTTCATGCAGAAAGGGATATTTACATTTTTTTTCTCCCGGAGGAAAACGAATTGTTCCTTTCAGCTCTTTATATATTATCGCCATAAAGTCACAAAGTACTGCAATTTCTTTCATCACTTCTTAAAGATGAAGTTGAGTTCTGGTCATGCGATTGCATTGTGAAAGAAACGGTGTGGAACCGACCAGAAAGGGTTGATCATCTAGCATATAAAAATAATTTGTGTGTATTGCAAGGTTCTGGAATCATCAAAATGATAAGAAATTTGGCCAAGTCTTGGTAAAGTTACAAACACTTGCACAGAAAGATGTATATGGGACTACAAGAACACGTGGCGTAAAAAGCCGGCCCCCCGATTTTTACGATGCTACATGCATATTTAGAATATAAAGGCATTTGAAGAGCCATGCTTCTCATGTCTTAACTGATGTTCTTCCACACTTGTATAATAAGAATGAGTAATGCTCACAAATTATTTTTCACCTCTTCCCAGAACTCAACCTTCTCTTTAAATAGACCTGTATACTCATTCCTTTTAATCAAACTTTTTCTCTCCCGACCCTGAGTCTTTCTCTCCCCTTTCCCCCACCCCTCTCTCTCTCTCTCTCTCTCTCTCTCACACACACACACACACACACACACACACACGCACACACATTTCCCACCTATCCTTCTCCACGTTTTCCCTTACTGTCACTGATATAGTTATCCTGAGAAACAATCAAAGATCTTTATACGTAACATACTGGGAGACGGGCATAGTTAGATAGGTAATACTATCTCTTTATTTCCAAATTGTGCTTTGCCATTCGGGATAGAGTTTAATTGGTATGTTTAATGTCATTATTCTCTGTATTAATTAGGTTTAATTCAGAATCCTCTAATCCATAGGAGTAGAAAACTTTGTTTGGGGGTCTTTTCCGGATAGACCATTTTCACTACGCAATTTTTTGTTTAGTACCTCTTTAATGTTAAATAAGTAAAGTCGTAATATTTCCGAGTAGGCATAATTTACCCCAAAAATTCCATGTTCATCTCATAATAGGTTAAATTATCACTTGATAATGTAACACATGGAATGAAGGGCGATATTTCTCGACGACTTGGACTGAGTCTCTGATCATATATTTACAATTTATTACTCCTAATTAGAAAATAGATAGGATCATATTCTAATACCCCAGTGACAACAACCAGAACTATTAAACAGGATGATCTAGAAATTTCGAATCACCATTGACGAAGAATCCGTCAGTTCTGAATCGTCTTGGCGTCGGGTTGGTGGTGTAACTGTAACTGATGTTTAATGTTGCATTAATGATATAAAAATGTTAGGCGGATTACACATGATTCATTTATTTTAAAAAAACCCACTTTTTTAGCTGCATATATGAACAAGGCATTATAGTACCTAATCAGGATAAATCTTTTAGATCCTTAAAAAATATAACGACAATCCTTCGTTATGATGTTATCGCATATGATAACGAAATATAAGCGCTTTACGGATGATAATATAGGTATTTACAACAACAAAAAAACTTAAATGATATTTTATAAGAAATTGATATTGAATTTTGCTACTTGAATGACAAAATGCTTATTTATTGAAAATCATTGCAACAAGATATAGAACGATAGAATTGCGTTGGAAAACACCAAGTTAAAGTTATTGGAAATTAAAATTGGTTCCAGTGTCAAGTTATATTTTCCGTATCTTCATCTGGTGCTCTGCTGTACAGTAGATTTTTTTTTTTTTTGGGGGGGGGGGCATGACAAAAACTCCATTCTTTCTGGTTTCACCATAGCGTGATGTGAATGCAGCTGGGATTCTGTCTAAACTTCATCACCTTTGTCCTATTTATGTTTAACCTCATACCCAACGCTTTCATTTATGCTGTCCATCATAATTGTCAGTATAAGTATAAACAAATCATTCCAATTGGCTAAATGCAATGGCTACATGCAATGGACAGGTGTATAAAACATGGTATAAAACGTAACGACATATATGAATTTGAACTCACTGTCTATAACTTATTCTCAAAGTATGGATATGTATTAAGTTGAACTATTGGGTATCATAAAGTTCTAGAATCATCTTAATAAGGGAGTTTATAGATAGCACATATCCACAGATCTTTTACACATGGAGAAATTCCACTTTGAGCATCTTAAAATAATAACTGCCAAAGTCCTAGATGTATTTCGTGAATACCTTTTGTTTGCCCACTTGAAAAGAATACTTCCACCTGCGTATCTTAGAAAGTACCGTTGGTGCATAAATGAATAATATTCACATAACTTTTATGAGCGCATAACCAGTATTCATCTCTGTGGGTTTTACCTTTTTGGTACAAATGACCATAATCTGCTCATGCTCAGACTGCAACCTTAAACTGGCTTATTATGGCAAATAAAAATGAAATAGAGTGGGGAAAGTGGAAGAGAAAATGGTATGCCTATATGGCCTGCACCAATGATTGTTATCAGAACATGAAAGCAACTGTTGTTTTTTTTTCTTCTCGAAAATCAAATGATGATTATTTTCTAGTAATGCTAGTCGTATTCAAATCATGAGAGTTTTTTGTTGTTTGTTTTGTTATATAAAAAGAAATTCCTTTCACATGGCAATTAAAACGCTATTCATCTGTACATTCAATTATTTATTATATGTGGAGAACTGATGAACGTCGAGTTTTTATTTTATAAAGCCCACGAAATCGAAATCAATAATCGTGTATAATATACAAAACAATTATAACCAAGATGAATATCATTATGATCGACATATGTTAATACAAAATGAATAATGCATATACATAAGAAAACTGAATAAGTTTTGTTCTAAACATTTATGATCGGGGATGACTAGTGAAAATATACTTCATTAAGAGATAATATGCCAAAATAAACCTTCAAATTAGACGTGAAATTTTAAACAATCGCATTTCTCTCAGTGACAAATAAGTTGCATTGGAAGATTAATGCAGCGAAAGAGAACAAAATCAGCGCTCGATGGCGCAAATTTTGTAGGGTTGTGGATTCATGGTGATTCCATTCGCTCCACGCATGCTTGGGTTTGGTTGGTTAAGAGGAAGCTTGAATTCAAACTGTTGGAAGAGATTGGTGAACAGCAGGAAGTATTCCATTTTGGCCAGCTGACTCCCAACACAATCACGACGACCTGTATTTTACAGAAGAAAAACGAGTGTCTGGTGTAAGTTCTTATCTTGGACCGTGTTTTGTTTCCTGCGCACAAATAACATAAGTATATTTTAAACTCTTCAATGTTAGGAAAATAAGAAATGCTTATGGTTGAGAAAATTTAAATTTTTCTTTAAATTAATGTTGGAAATATGGCACGCTGCCTAGTATCTTCTAACTCAGTGGGAACGCCCCACACCATACCAAAATCGACGATTAATTTTGGATTCGCCTTCGATTCCGAATATAGTCCGGAGGGCATAGAGAATTAGTGCATCATTATCGCGCAATATTCACCCCGACCCCCCATGATCATTATCATTATCGTCTTACCAACACCAAATGGCATCCACGCCTCGTTCTTCTGGAATTGTTTTCCATCAGCACTGAGAAAACGATCCGGGTTAAATGTGTCCGGTTCATTCCATTCCTTGGGATCATGATGAACAGCATACAGGTTTGGAATAATGATGCTTCCCTTTGGAATCGTAAAGCCTCGGAATGAAACGTTATCAGATGTCATACGAGGAACTGAGACCGGGAGGATGGGGCGTATTCGCATGACCTCTGTTAGAGTGGCGTTGCAGTAGGGCAGGTCTGGACGATCAAGAGTATTCGGTTGGCGGCCACGCCCAACAACAGTATCCAACTCAGCTTGTACCTATGAAGGTTGAAAACAAAATGACGGTGTTTCATAATTAAGTAATGCAGAATTAATGTTATGTAAATGTTTTTGATGAGGAGGATGATTTCGATATTAATAGGGGTAACGATAATAAGTGTTGATCTCGTGGCATATAGCCTTTCAAAGCAGCCGAAATGCAGTGGCATGAATAGACGAGTCTTTAACGCAAAGCCGATGATTGTAGAAGATCATATTTGTTTTAGCAATTACTGATGTAGAACCCGAAACTGTTACTCGTTTTTATGCTCAGTTATGACTTTGCTAATAAATCAATTCCCGATTTTGTCTTTCATATTTTCGGACATTTCTTTAGGTGCCAAGTTTAAACAAGCTACCAACCTTTCTTTGAACATCTGGGTGAACAGAAAGAAACAGAATCGCCCAAGAGGTAACCACGGCCGTGGTGTCGGTACCACCTACAAAAAAATCAAGCAAGACTCGCCAGAAATGCTCTAACTCGAATTCCTTGGATATGTCGTCTGCTAAGAACGCGTCAGTAAAGTCCCGGATGTTGTCTTTCTGAAACGTTTCTCGATGGCTGTTGAGATGGGACATAATGAAATACCTGTCAGAGAAAATAGATTCACGGTAGGGCTTGTATCTTGGAGTATGTATGAGTGTTTCGAAGATGTTCACTAGATCTGTTTCAGGAATGAGGGAGAGGAATTCGTCCATACTCTTAAGAACCCTGCTCATCTCGCCGTCACTGTATTCGTATCGCTGACTAAATAGAAGTTGACAAATGATATTAGCGGTTGCCTTACTAAATGTAGTTGCTAAATCTGTGGGTTCTCCTCGAAGATTTCTGATTTCCTCAGACAGGTAACGTGCCTCCAGATTAATCTGAGGAACCAGGCTCTGCTTCCCAAATCCAAAGGAGCGCAGGGCAGGAAGAGAGAACCTCCGTAAGTCGACCCATGGTTTGCCATTACTAAAAGCAATGGTAGCTGCATAAAAAGAGAAAAAGTTAGTATCGAAAAGATTAACAAATATCTTTACACATGACTAACAAAATTGGTATCCTGTGAGAATAATTTGTTTAAAAGGCTCAACTTTTTTTTGAACCAACAGAATGATAAATTTGGATAACATAGACAAACTAGACAGCAGCAACCCTCGCCCTTCAAGGATATTAAAACTCTAATATTTTGGGCAAACGTCAATTTATATTTAAGCTGCAATATGCTAATATCCAGGCAGTTCAGCGGAATTGCTGCAAAGGACTCAAAATCGTTGGCAGAAAAACAACAACATTCTCTCGCATAGACGGCACTAGCTTGGGGGTCTTTCCTGGATTGACCATTTTGATGTCTATAATGTCTAATGAATCTATCTGTTTACTCATTCTGTGTTCATTATACAGGGTAGTTTCGTCACTACATGAAAACTGCTTTGCGTGAGAGCCCTGTATTCCATAATACCATTGAAATACAATGAAACATTATTTAAAAATAATATCAAGTAAAATTAAAGTACATAATTAAAAAAAACCAAGAGAAGAAAATTATGTAGATTGATATTGAAAAAAGTATTAGCTTTTGCATCACGATACTAAGTTCAGTAAAATATATACAGTACTTTAATACCGATCAAATACCACAAAGGGTCAGGATACTGTAAACAGTTTTCATTCACGATTCCCTTCCTCATTACTATTTGAGCACATTATATATGCCCATAAATGGCTGTAAGTCAATGGTAACATTATAAAGCTCAGACTATAATAATAATAACTAGACCTGCAATCGTGGCACAACGATATGCGTGCAATGACGGGCGATTTGGCACCAAGGGTTATCTATACTAACATAATTATAAACAGTATAATATGGTGTCTAAAATGCGATTAACTCACAATTTTATGTGAACATATATCATACTTGGTATCATCCGAATGGGCACTTCATTGCGGTCAGTTTGACATCATTTTCATCTGCGCGAAATGTACTGCACGCATTTAACACGCTATTACGTAATGCATAGTAAATTCATCATTTTTAGCGATAACTTTGCGCTGAGGTTATTACAATTTACCAAACTTGGCTGACAGTTGTCACGTATACATGTGTCTGCTAAGTTTCATTGTTGTAGGTATAATGATCGCAATTTTAGAGCAAGTTGAAGTTATTTCGCAATTTGCTTGAAAATGGCGAAATTGGAGAGTAATTTTCTCAAATTTGGTCAAAAATAGGGTATATAATTTCGTATATGGCTTGAAAGGGGATATCTTCGGGTATCTAAATCCAAAAAAAAGGGTACGGGTCTGCCAAGCCATAATGGAGATACGGCCACAGAAAGAAAGCCAAGTCCCAGAACTTTAGAGGGCGCTATTTATGTTTTGCATAGCCATTGGAGCATGAAATTTGGCATGGCTATGTGCAATTATGGGATAAGGATACGGTGAGATTTAAAAACAAAACGGAATTTATATGATAAAGTTATGGCAGTTTTAGATTTGTTGGGGTCCACTTTTCAAGAATTTTAAAGATTTTTGACGGAGTCGGTTTTGGATTTGAATTTTGAGTACAAAGATGGCATTTTGAAGGTCAGTTTATGCATCGCAGATGAAAGAACATCTCTCAGACTATCTGAAGGAATTTGTTAGAAGTTTGTAGGATCTAGGATAGTGAAGATAGGAAGGAATGAAGAAAGGCCTTAAAATGGATCAGAAACGGACAAAATGGCGCCTGGATGGTTATGCATGAGTGATTTCGAAAATCGAAAAAGTAGGTGACCTTGATGAGATGCTAGAGACTATGCCTATGAAATTTGAACGGAAATGGACATGAGGAAAGCACCTAACTAGGATTAACAAACACTACGTGCAAAACGAACGTGATTTTCTGCAAAGAAGAAGAATATTAATGGGGAAGAACGTGAACGAAAACAAGGCAATGACGAAGGTCGTCATTGCAATAATAATGGTGGCTTCTACATAGCGCACATGTCCGTCACGTTGCGGCGCTCCTGGCGCTGCCCCGATTATTACCCATGCATTATTTAGTGGTTGTAATTTGATATGCAGGTGAAAACAGCCTTTTGGGGGCGATGCCGACTGAACCACCCCCCCCCCCATCTACCCTTAAAGAGGTATAACTCGTCTCCTAACTATCAGTGCCAAAATGTGCAATGTCCATCTCCTCCTGTGACTATAGGCTTAGATCCGTATCGTCTTTTTAAACTTTACCCAGTACCACTTTATACATACCAAAGGTGTCCTTTCTTCTCTTGCTTACTATCGTATACACCTAATTTATACAGGTCTTAGAAGTATTCCCTGCATGTGACAAAGTCAGGATTAATAATATCCCAAAGATCACAGACATTTAATAAAATCAACTGAAATCAACTGTGCGAACAGGCCAATTATATAATTACGTTTTCATAATAATTTCATCGTGAATTCTTCCGTCGTTACCACAAGGCCGATTGAAAATGCCCCTTGACTTTATTAATCGAAAGTCTCTGCGATCGTGTTAAAAAATTATTGACATAAGAAGTCAAAATGAATAGGACCTATGGTTTTGGCGGGATACGAAGTTCAACATTTAAATACCTGCACTACCAATACATCTGAACTATGAAGCTTACCTTTCTTTCCAGGATCCGGTATTCCCCAATTAATGTGTCCCGGTACAAACCGATCCGAGAAGAATTCTCCTGACTTTACCAGAGCCTGTGTGATACTCTCCCTGTCGTTAAGAATAACAAAGAAAAACGAACCTCTCCGCAAACTGAAAATAGGGCCGTACTTCTCAGCCAGGTCCATGTAAGCTTCGTGGATAAGACCTGGTTTAAAGTTATACCCGATGATTGGGAGCGACCATGGCCCAGGTGGGAGGTTCCTAGGTCTCCGGACGACCCAGAAACAGAGGAGAAAAATCACCACTCCTAGAAACACAGATGTTGCCGACAGGTCGAACATTTTAATTGATATTAATTAACGCAAGTCCAAAGTGTGGGCTAATTATACAGAAAGAACTCCCTAACTGCTCAGACGTCTAGCAAATTAATGTACGGATTGTTGTCCCACAATGAACCGCTTGTTTATCTGATGCAGAAGAACAAACCGATATATAACTTTCAATACCATCAGGCCTGACACACTCGATGCTGTGTATGGGGAAATAACATTAGCTATGCTATATCACGTCATAATATACATGTTAGCCCTTCAACCAATCAGATACATCTAAGAGGTCACATTGGTCACAACATGTTCAAAGTCCAGATAGATTTTTTTATCAAACCAAGGAGTTTTAAGAGCTGGAGACCCAACTAGCAACAAATTATTCTAAGCAGCTGCCGTTTTCTCAGGATGCACAATAGATGTCCAAGGTTCGAAGCCGCTGATATCATTGGAAAGCTTGATTAGTGATTTTGTTCTTAAATATCCTTATTAATTCATTTCCTTTTTAAACTAACAAGGGGGAAATATAACAGATAATATGAATACAAAAGCCTATTGTGTCAAGAAATTTGCTTACATTGTATTGTAGCAGCTTTAATTTTTTTTAAATAACATTTTACAATCCTAAAACATGTGAAACAGTGAACATGTTTTATATTCACAGTTCTTTATGATGTTATATGCCAGATTAGTGCCCACACATGCCCAGTCGATGTTATGTCTACGTATTTGCAAGGAAGATCTAGTTAAGCTCCTAACATTTTTCTCCTGGCGACCTCGAAGATTGAACAAAGGGAATGAGCTACACATGACTCCATCTCTTAAAACTCCTTGATTGAAATGAATATTTCCATGTTCCCTATCTAAGTTTGAATTGCGAGGTGCCTGGATGTGGGACGTCGCTCGTATTGTTGGATGTAACGCCATTGATGTTATGTTGTTATTATGTTTTATAACTGGTATACTTGTGTACGTTATTTTTATCACACCTGTACCAGTGAGCAACGAATTTCGATTTTTATGGACAATAAATCAATTCAATTCAATTCAATTTTACAATAAGCCAAATAGGATTTTAAAAATCCGAGATCCGAGGGGGGGGGGGGGGGTATACACATACAAATACCAAAGGGGGGTTCAATCCCCCCCCCCCCCTGTGTACGCCCCTGCACACATAGCAGTCCACGTTCTCGTCGTGTAAATCTTAAAGTCCCTATTATCTGGAATGTGTGTTCGCATATTCGGCGTTGAGGAGAAGCCGGGTGGAGACACCGACGCAATAGCAGTAGAGATCATCATCGAGCAGGTTGGTGTTACTCTGGAACTGAGAGACATCGACCGCTCCCATCGCACATGGAATGTAAAATCCTCAGTAGCAACTCCTAGATAACCTCCCAGGCACCGCACTATCATCGTGAAACTGAATTCCTACAAAAAGAGAAGGGATATTCTAGCAAATAGAAAAACCTCAAGGGATTAGGAATATTAATAGTGGAGGATTTGACAATGAAGAACCATGCACTTCTCACGAAACCTCGCAGCACACCAAAAGTATTGTCAGCATAGACTTTAGAGGGCAGGGTCATCGCTCTTCTACCTGCAATTGATGGACAAACTGTGAAGAAGTGTAACAGAATCGAATATGACTAATTACTACTACTACTAATACTACTTTTCCTACTCAGTCATGGCTGTGTGCAAACACAGACATTTTGCCATTTAACTACAAATTTAAAGGCGGGCAGTAGCCAAAAATGTTTTGTTCAAAATAGTCTTATTCATACTGATTCTAAAGAAATTGCTTATATTATGAATGATCAACTAAAAGATGAAAACTACTTTGATTATAATTTTAGTGTATATTTTTACATAAATTGCTTTTATCTACATATTAAGATATTGATCGCCTTGAATAACATTGGACAGTACAAGCTGTATGCTTTGTTTTTTAAATTATTGCACTAATTCTTACCACATTCGTTATGCTCCAAATTCATTTGAAAGGAAAAGTTTTTTTCTTAGAAATTCAGACTACAATTTGTACGCTGGTAAACCAAAACAAATTGTATGCGGTTGGGTAGCATTTATGCCAGTACTAAATTATTTAATCGATTGCCATGTCTTTCACGTGTTAAGCAAGATTACAACAAACTTGTTACAGCAGTTCAAGAATATTACGGAAGAATACATTTAATATGCCATTTTTAAATTGTTTTTAATGTTGGTATTGCTTTTTACCAAATATTATTATGTATTGTAAATGTTGTATTTATTTCTTTTTATCTTGACTTTCTCTTTTGTTGCCCTTCCTTATTTTACTTATCTTACTTATCTTCACTTTAAATGGTCGCCTAGTCTTTTCTTCTGCTATTTGTAAAACTATATATAATTAATCTGTTTATTTAACCTGTTGAAAACGGAAACAGTACAGGAAATGTTAATTACGCTACAGTGCTTATAATTGACCCTTTAATCTTAGATAACCAAAAATATGTCCCAATCAGGCTAAAGTCATGACCATTATCCTGTGATTGACCTGTATTTCTACTTTAACGAGGTGAATTTGTTCAGCAGCGTCGATATCTGACTAGAACATGGGCGCCAACTCAAGGAAACAACCTCAACGCAGACTCAAATAGGATGCTCAGAGCCTGGGAGGCAATGATGAGGAGAATTTGGACAAAAGCTTTAAAAGTATCAAGACAAATTACTCTGACTTACTTCTGTAGAACGCTCGACAAGCGAAGATTGCTGTGTGAAGAAAACGGGGAAAATTACGCTCGTCCAACGAGTTGGGTCGTAATATAGGTTAACACCTGTAAACATGACCTCTTTTCCTGTATATTTAATACCCTATTCAACCTTTGAAATTATGATTTTTCTGCACGAGATCGAGGATGAAGAGTTATAGACAAATCATTTTTCAAACCTTTATGTAAAATAATTCCCTTCACAACTCCAAAGGATCATATACGCATGCTCTAGTAACATTTTACAGAAAAAGTCCTCTGTCATAGTAGTGTGGTACGCAGGGGCGTAAATCCGTACCGAGGAGTGGGGGGGGGGGGGTGATCGGCGATAGCCATCACATACTAGCATGAGCACACGCCCACACTAATTTACGCAAGCGCGCACGATCGCGCACGCACAAACACACAACACACAACACACACACACACACACACGCACACACACGTGCACACACGCGCACACACGCACACATACACGCGCACCCACACGAACAAACAACAAACACACATGTACATAAATTTATACATGCATACATACATGCACGCACATGCCAAATTTGACAACCATTAGGTAAAAGAAGTGGACATATTTCGAAATACTGAGAGCTGCAAGCTGTAGTGTTTTATTATATTGAACTCCGAAATAAGACGACACACTTTCAAGTAGTAACATCAAGATTGAGTATTTCGTCAGGAAGATGCGAACTCTTTATTTTGAGTCCCATCACTTAGAAAATGATGTATAATGGTCAGGGGCGTCGCTAGACCTTTTTTAGTGGGGGGGGGGGGGGGGGGGGGGAGGGGTGTAGAGGCCAACGATTACCGACAAAACTAACCCCCAATTACCGACAAAATTAAATGTCCCAATATTTACGAATTTAACCCTATATACCCGGGGCCGAAGACTAAATTGTTTTTCCTACGGACTATCTATAGTACTTGCATATGCGCAAATGGTCATTTTCCTCGACGACATAAATATACGAATTATTTCGTCAACTTAGTCAGCATCATAGCTATATATTTTAATGCAGGCGCGGAGCTAGGATCTCATTTTAAAGAGAGGCGGTAGTGAGCAGGCGAATCACGCAAAGAGCGCGCAGCACGCTCATTAGGGGGGTGTGGGTGATAGGCTTACCGCGCGAAGCGCGGAAGCTTAGACGTTTTATTAAATTATTAGAGAAAGTAGACAATTCGTTAAAGCGTGCTCGACTCTTAATCCTTGTATGAATTCAGTTTCTCCCTCTCTCTCCCGCGCAAAGCGCGGAAGCTTTGGCATTTCATTAAATTATTAGAGAAAGTAGACGATTTGTTAAAGCGTGCTCGACTCTTAATCTTTGTCTGATTTCGGTTTACCCCTCCCGCGCAAAGCGCGGAAGTTTTGACGTTTCATAAAATTACAAGAGAAAGAAGACGATTGGTTGTATTGTTCTCGACTCTTAATTCTCGTCTTCATTCAGTTTCCCCTTCCCGCGCAAAGCGCGAAAAGCTTAAACGTTTGATTTAATTATTATAGAAAGAAGACGATTCGTTGCACCGTTTTCGACTCTTATTAAGCCCTATTTATCTGAATTCAGTTTCCCCCACTAGCGCGAAGCGCGGAAGCTTTGACGTTTCCTTAAATTATTAGAGAAAGCAGACGATTCGATGTACCACTTTCGACTCTTTATTCTCAATCAGTTTAGTGGCATTCGCTTCTGTCTGCTTGATACCGGTACGTATTTTGTCACGTAGAGTTTGTATAAGTCTTATCTTATTGTTGCTGTTGGCAAGGAATGCTGTTTTGGGTTGTGCTTGTTGGCATATAACATATTATCATCAAATAAAAAGGTACATCTTTGGGCTATTCGTCTCTGCTCAGCTACATTTGTCGAAGTTGCACTTCCATATCCATCGAACACCACCGTCAAATGAGCTCCATAATGCTTAAGGGTGCTGTAGGCGACCACCATCTTAAACAAAGAGACCATTTCTGGCACGTTGGATTGTTTGGAGAACGAATTCAGCAGGAGACCCAGAGAACTCTTAGTTGGCTTCCGCATCACCCCACCTTTGAAAGGGAAAGTGCGTGGGAATATGTTCATAAGCAATGACCGATTCCACCTCAGTGTTGTTATTCAGGACACATGTTATTCTGTTGAACAGTAGTTTTGGGTTGGCTTATGTGCTTTGTCCCCTGATTTTCACTCTCTTACTCTTGGCACCAATGGTCTTCACCTTGTCCTTACGATGTACGTAGCTTGAATTCTGTAAACTTCGTACCATGCATTTGTTTCGGATGCCGCTACTAGGCCGATTTGTACAGGTTAATCACAATTAACAGATAAGCCAGCGACGATGCCAGTTGACAAGGAGACCAGGTAATTAGTTTCGTATAAAGCAAATGGTGATGTGCCTGCAGCCATCCAACAAAGATACATCTTTCTTTATTGTCTCTTGACCTGGTACTTTGCTGTATGTCTTTATGCTGCTCTGGTGTACCAGTGTGTACTCAGGTGAACTGTTCCAGTTCAGCACAGGTAGGAACACAGTGAGGAAGTGCATGAACCCACTTTAATAGCCAATGTTCTGTCTGTGATTCCACGTCCACGAGTCATTTCTCTAGATGTTTTCAGCTGCCGCATCAGGAACTTTTCAATGGTCTGATCAGAGAAGTTTCCACCCGAGAATGAATCCACACGGCGGATGGTGAAGTATCCCATTTCTGCGAATTGTGTATATTCATTTCCTGGCATGGTTTGCTCTAGAGCTTTTATCTGTTGTAAAAAAAAAAAAAAAACTGGCATATTTTAACTAGGGAAGATGTCCTGCAGCATGGAAATGTTGTATCATTTCCCTCACACAGCTGAGATGGAGCTTCCAGTCCCCTGTCCTTTCAGCTGGAATGAAACTGCAGAAGAGACACATAAATGTCGGATTTACTGCAACCAAAGTTTCCCTGTCCTATTGGACGTGCCCTGCTGCCCGTTTAATGAGTTGTGAAATGATCTGGTTTTAACTGTTTGACACACTCTTCTCAGGAACAGCAGTCACCTTCTTGTCCTGGTTGAGGAGTGCACCATACATATTCGCTAAGTGGTCCTTATATATGCTGTCTAAGACGCCAGGTTTACCCATCAACACTGCCAATGAGGGCAGCTGAAGTAAGAATGTGATCACGAAGAGAAGGGGAAATGCATGACCAGATTGCATATGTATGACAGACCCTTTGGCGTACACTGTCTCCCATAGCTCTACAAGCATACTTCTGCCCATGACGTGGACTATATGCTGCCGAGATATGACATGAGGAGGTGAAATCGACCAAAACGGACGATTACTTTTCCTAGGTCTTGAGAATAAGCTACAATCTCTGCTGTCTTGATGTACGAAGGCTGGTTAAATGTTACTGCACATATTCTTAAGTTATATGTTTTTCACATTGTGACGGTGCAAAGTATAGTGCCGTGTAGATGGTACTCGGATTGGAGGGGTCTAAATTTACGAAGGGCATAGTTTCAATTCTCGTACTGCAGTCACTCTGCATGACCACTTTCATGAAACCAATCCATGAAGGACAAAGCTCATGTTGCTCAGCTCAAGATGTCTATCTGTTCACGTGAGCCACTTTTCCGGTGTTTATACGAAGCCATTCCAACAATATTGGCGACAGAAATGACCTGGTCTACTAGCAGAAATGACCTGGTCTACTAGCAGAGATGACATGGCATGTGCTATTAAGGTGCATTTCCTGTTTGAAACCTTGTGACTTTTGCCTTTGCGACAATAATTGGTAATAATGTGTCTCCATTTTCAGTTCCATCTAACGTTGAGTACTCTTCACGGTTTGCACACTGTCAGTCTGATGGAAGCAGTCTGATGGAAGCAGCCATATGTGTGCATGTGTGTGTGGGTGGGTGGTTGTCTACGTTATGTATAAGAAATATTTAATTATTTAATGAAAGGTTTATTTGTACTGATATGTATTACAATAGTGCTTTTCTAGTATAGACATTTGATTGTATTCATAACGTACCTACTTTAATACAGTGAGATAAATTCGAAATAATGGCCATTTTGGACTCCATTTTGGATTTCAGAAAGGGCTCATGTGGTTTGACTGCCACTTGTGTGTTTCAAAATTTATTGATAAGTATTTGGTTGAGTTGCTTATGCTGAAAAACATATATTTAGAAATTTAAATTTGGTATTTGGGTTATCTAGTTGCATAGTTATAAGAAATTCAGGAAATGGCAGCAATTTTGGGCGCCATTTTGGATTTCGGGAAGGGCTAAAGTGGTTTATAGCTACTTGTGAGTTTCAAAATTTATCAACAAGTATTTTATTGTGTTCCTTATCCTAAAAAACATATATTTAGACATTTAAATTTTGTATTTGGGTTATCTAGTTGCAAAATTCGTCGCTGTTTTCACGAAGTGACGGTAGTGAAAAAAAATTGCATTCACTTTGCGTTACGATTTTCCTCTCTACCGTCACTTCGTGAAAACAAGGACGAATTATAAGAAATTCAGGAAATGGCGGCCATTTTGGACGCCATCTTGGATTACGGAAAACGCTCAAGGAGGATATACGAGGACTTTTAGTATGTTATTCTAGATATATTCCTGGAGCTATCCTGAAAAAATCAGCTTGTTACCAAAAATTTCCAGGTTTAAGCCTATTTTGACCTAATGCTCTTGGCCTATGTACGCAACCCTACACCAAAGCAATTTTTTTAGGAACGCGTTGCCTAGGCACAGGGTACATAACCATCGTACGCCAGCCTACGCATAACCTACGCAGGGACTACACCGAAGCAACATTTTGTTTCAGGAATACGCAGCCCAATCCCGGCGTAGTCGGTACGCCACACTACGCAACTCTACGCGGATCCGGTGTGAAAGGGGCTTAAGTTTGCAGCTAGGCAGTAATCTTATGTCTACGTATTTGCAAGGAAGATCCAGTTAATCACACATCTGACATTTTGCTCCTGGCGACATCGAAGATTGAACAAAGGGAATGAGCTACATAATGACTCCATCTCTTAAAACTTATTGATTGAAATGAATATGTCCATGTTCCCTATCTAAGTTTGAATTGCGAGGTGCCTGGATGTAGGACGTCGCTCGTATAGTTGGATGTAACGCCATTGTATTGATGTTATGCTGTTATTATATTTATTCAGGCGCGTACGCAGGGGAGATTTTTGGGGGGTTAAACACCCCCCCCCCTTTGTTTTTTTTATGTGTGTATTTTTGAACACCCCCCCCCTCCTTTTGTGTTTTTGGGGGTGTTTTTTAATAATGCCAATGGCTGACCTAACAAAAGTGACCTTACATGTACCTCCCCCCCTACGGAGCAAAATATCAATTTTTCAAATTTAAAGACCCCCCCCCCCCCGCTTGGCTGACTGAGTCGAAATTTTTGGCCCGATTTCAAAATGTTAACCCCCCCCCCCCCTTGAAAAAATCCTGCGTACGTCACTGTTTTATAATTGGTATACTTGTGTACATTGTTTGTGCTTCAATTTTTTTTTCTCAAATAATACAATTCGATCGTACTATGAGCTTCTAAAGTACACGTATTAACATGTATAAATGAAAAGGTTTGGAAAAGGTCTGAATAGCATTTTTTGTACAGGAAGAAAACACTTAGTACCCTGGAAGCCTCTTATGCTTATTACGGAGAACTCCGACAGGGTACTAGAAATCAGTTTTACATGGATTAGAAATAAGCTTGAGCTCTGGTAATGATAGAAAATAAATTTCAGTTCAGTTCAGTTTAGTTTATTAATTTTTCTCAAGCATAAAAACAATATTATAATATATACAAAAATGGGAAATATACATAGTAAGAAAACAAACGGAAACTACATAAAAGTTATAATAACCTGTATCGCGTAGTTCCTAGTAAAGGGAAAAAATACATGGTATAAACAAATGCAATAACAAAATACAAAATTATGCAGATTAATCAGTAACACACTACACCAACAGACACCAGCAATCATACAGGGAGGGTGGGGGGGGGGGGGGTAATGGTAATTGTAAATTTGATGAGAATTTTTTTTTGTATAATCATTAATACATACCCTTTTCAACTTTGCTTTATGAAGTTATATTTGTTGAACTCTTTATTTCCTCTGAGAGATAATTTTCCACACGCGTGGACCACTGTGCCTTAATGAGTTAAATAAAAACTATGTTTTAACCTTGGGATAATGAAATTTATTATTTGAGCGAGTATTGTGATAATGAACCGATCTATTTATGGTGAACATTTGGGAAACATTGCAAGGAGTTATATTATGGATTGTACGAAACATTACTTATGCTATTTTAAATCTATGTATATCATATATGTTTAGTGTTTTTAATCGGAAGAATAACGGTCGGGAATGGGATCTAAAGGAAGAATTTGTACATATTCTCAAGATTTTCTTTTGTAATTTGTGTAACGGTTCCAATTTCGTTGTTCCACCATTCTCCCGAATAATATTACAATATTGAAGATAAGGTAAGGCTAGACAATTATAAAGCATATACATTTCCTTTTTTGGTAAAAAATCACGAAGTTTACAAAGAATTCCTACAGTTTTTTTAGAATTTGCTAGTTATAGTGGAACGATGGCAATTGAGAGATAGTTCGTCGTCGTAGGTTTATCATTATTTATCACCCATTCATTAGCATGAAACCAATTTATAATCTTAATTAATTCCTCATTTGTCATTATTTACAAGAACATCGAAATCATTATGAGAGGCAACTAAATTAGTGTCGTCTGCAAAGAGGACAAAATGGAAAAATGAGGAAACATTACACAGATCATTTATATAAATCAAAAAAGGAGCGGGCTCAGTGTTGAGCCCTGGGGGACTCCACACCGGACCCTCTCATGATGAGAAATAACATTTTTGTAAACAGTATAATGAAAACGGTCAGATAAATAATCCTTAAACCAATTAATTGCAATACCAAGTATACCAAAATCAGCTAACTTAGAAAGTAAAATATTAGGATTAATTACATCAAACGCCTTACTTAAATCGAGAAATATACCAAGTGAGTGCAAGTTATAATTTATATTATTAAGGACATGATCATTAAAGTCAATAAGTGCAAAATCACAGGAGGAATTTGATTTGAGAACTATTTAAAAGATTATTGTTATCAATATGACTTATAAGTCATATTGTTGTACATTAACTTTTCTAAGGGCTCTTTCATGTCTGCTGTAAAGATATAATAGGCCATGTAGCATTTTTCCTCCATACCTTGTAAATATTGCTGATTATATATTTCCGATTCATTACTCCTAATTTTAAAAAAAACCTAGGACCATATTATAATACCCCAGTTACACCAACCAGAACGATGAAACAGGATGATCTAGATATTTTCATATCACTAATGACGGAGAATCCGTCAGTTTTGAATCGTCTTGGCGTCGGGTTGGCGGTGTAACTGTTACTGTTGCATTAATGATACAAACATGTGAGATGGATTACACTTAATTCATCATTTAAAAATAGAAATAAAAAGTAAAACCGCCACCATTTACAACTGCATATAATTATAAACAAGGCATTAAATTAGCTAATCAGGGTAAATCTTTTAGATTCTGTAACATTATAATGAATGTTCTACGTTACGATTTGATGGCGCACGATAACGAAATATAAGCGCTTTACAGATGATACTATAGATATTTACAGAAAAATAAAGTAAAATAATGTATTCCAAGAGATTGATAATGAATTTTGCTACTTGAATGTCATAATGCTTATTTATGGCAAAATTTTTTGCAACAAGATATGAAACAAGTAATACTAGCATAGATTTTGGCACATTGACATTAAATAAAGTCGGGAATAAAATTGGGAAAATGGAATAAGAAGTTGGTATGCCTATATGGCCTGTACCAAGGATTGTCATCAGAATATGAAATCATTTTTTGTTTTTCTTCTAGAAATTCAAAAAATGATTATTTCTTGTAATGCTAGTCGTATTTATATAATGAGCGTTTTTTTGTTCGTTGGTCTTGTTATATAAAAAGAAATCCCTTTTACATGGAAATGGAAAGGCTATTCACCTGTACATTCAATTATTTATTAGCTGTGGAAATTGATATACGTCGATGTTTTATATTTATAAAGCCCACGAAATTTAAATCAATAATCGTGTATAATATATAAAAATAATAATAACGAAGAAGAATGATCATTATGATAGACATATATTAAATGCAGCATAATTAATGCATATACATAAGCAAACTGAATACGTTTTTTCTAAACAATTATGTTCGGGGATGACTTGTGCAATATACTAAACTAATAGATAAGATGCCCAAATAAACCTTAACATGAGACATAACATTTTAAACAATCGCATTTCTCTCACTGAAAAATTAATTGTATTGGAAGATTAATGCAGCGTATGAAGACAAAATCAGCGCTCGATGGCGCAAACTTTGTAGGGTTCTGGATTCATGGTGATTCCATTCGCTCCACGCATGCTTGGGTTCGGTTGGTTAGGAGGAAGCTTGAATTCAAACTGTTGGAAGAGATTGGTGAACAAGAGGAAGGTTTCCATTTTGGCCAGCTGACTACCAACACAATCACGACGACCTGTATTTTACAAGAGAAAAACGAGTGCCTGGTGTAAGTTCTTGCTTTGGCCGGTGTTTAGTTCCTGCGCACAAATAACATAAGTATACTTTAAACTCTTCAATGTTAGGCAAATAAGAATGCTTATGGTTGAAAAATTTAAATTTGTCTTTACATTAATGTTAGAAATATGGCACGCTGCCTAGTTACAAAACAGTATCTTCCAGTGGGAGCGCCCCACACCATACCAAAATCGACGATTAATTTTGGATTCGCCTTCGATTCCGAACACAATCCGGAGGGCATAGAGAGTTAGTGCATCATTACCGCTCAATATTCACCCCCCCCCCCCAGGTGCATAGCCAGGGGGGGGGGGGTGATGGGGGCGGTCGCCCCCCCCCCCCAAAAAAAAAAAAAAAAAAAAAAAAAAAACGCCTCTTAAAAGAGAGAGAGAGAGAGAGAGAGAGAAGAGAAAAAAGTAAGAGGACGTAGGAAGAAAAAGGAGCAGACAAAGAAACATTTGTGAAAATTCGGACAAAATAATTTAATGAAACGTCAAAGCTTCCGCGCTTCGCGCGGTAGGGGGGGGGGAACTGAATCCAGACAATTAAGGATTAAGAGTCGAGAACGGTACAACAAATTGTCTTCTTTCTCTAACAATTTAATGAAACGTCAAAGCTTAATTCCGCGTTTCCTGAAGGAAGGGGGGGGGGATAAGAGTCGATAACGGTACAACGAATCGTCTTCTTTCTCTAATAATTTAATGGAACGGCAAAGCTTCCAAGGGGAGAAACTCCCCCTCTTTGCACCCACCCTCTAGGGAGCGCGCTCTGTAAGTGATTCGCCCGCTTCGCGGGCTCACGAGCACCCTCCTTAAATTAAATCCTGGGTACGCGCTTGCCCTCCCCCCATGATCATTATCATTATCGTCTTACCAACACCAAATGGCATCCACGCCTCGTTCTTCTGGAATTGTTTTCCATCAGCACTGAGAAAACGATCTGGGTTAAATCTGTCCGGTTCATTCCATTCCTTGGGATCATGGTGAACAGCCCACAGGTTTGGAACAATGATGCTTCCCTTTGGAATCGTAAAGCCTCTGAATGAAACGTTATCAGATGTCATATGAGGAACTGAGACCGGAAGGATGGGGCGTATTCGCATGACCTCTGTTATAGTAGCATTGCAGTAGGGTAGGTCTGGACGATCAAGAGTATTCGGTTGGCGGCCACGCCCAACAACAGTATCCAACTCAGTTTGTACCTATAAAGGTTGAAAACAAAACGATGGTGTTACTTTATTTAATAATTAATGCAGAATTTATGTTATATGTAAAGGAATTATGATGAGGAGGAGGAATTCCATATTAATAGGGGTAATGATAATAACTTTTGATCTCATGGCATGTCGCCTTTCAAACCAGTAGAAATGTAGTGGCATGAAAAGACCAGTCCGGAACGCAAAAAAGATGATTGTAGAAGATCACGTTTTTTCTTTCATAAAAACCTACAATACGTAGAACCCGAAACTGTTAGGCCTACTCAGTTTTATGCTTAGTTACGACTTTGATATAAAGCAATTCCCAATGTTGTGTCTTATATTTCTGGACATTCCTTTAGGTGCCAAGTTTCGAAAAGCTACCAACCTTTCTTTGAACATCTGCGTGAACAGATAGATACAGAATCGCCCAAGAGGTAACCACCGCCGTGGTGTCGGTACCACCTGCAAACAAATCAAACACAACTCGCCAGAAATGCTCCAACTCGAATTCCTTGGATATATCGTCTGCTAAGAACGCGTCAGTGAAGTCTCGGATGTTGTCTTTTTGAAAGGTTTCTCGATGGCTGTTCAGATGGGACATAATGAAATCCCTGTTGGCGAAATTAGCTTCACGGTAGCGCTTGTATCTTTGATTTGAAGTATGTATGAGTGGTTCGAAGATGTTCACTAGATCAGTTTCAGGAATGAGGGAGAGAATTTCTTCATTATCCTTAAGAACCTTGCTCATCTCGCCATCACTGTATTCGTATCGCCGACTAAATAGAAGTTGACAAATGATATTCGCGGTTGCCTTACTGAATGTGATTGCTAAATCTGTGGGCTCTCCTCGAAGATTTCTGATTTCCTCTGACAGGTAACGTGCCTCCAGATTAATCTGAGGTACCAGGCTCTGCTTCCCAAATCCAAAGGAGCGCAGGGCAGGAAGAGAGAACTTCCGTAAGTCGACCCATGGTTTGCCATTACTAAAAGAAATTGTAGCTGCATTGAAAGAGAAAAATTAGCATCGAAAAGATTAAAGATAAAGGTGAGTTCTGGTAATGCGATTGCATTTTGAAAGAAAAGGTGTGGAATGGATCAGAAACAGTTGATCATGTAGCATATAAGTATTGGTGTTCACTGCAAGGTTCTGGCGTCATCAAAATCATAATAAATTTGGCCGAGTCTTGGTAAAGTAACAGGCACTGTACACAGAAAGCTATATATGGGACAACACACATATGGTGTCGGGGCTATACTACCTTGATTTCCTTGTCTTCCTATGCTCATTACTCAGCCAGTATACATTTTCTTCCAAAATTGTTTGGCACATGTCATTTACTTGTAATCTTGAACATTCAGTGTAAGTTTCGTTTGATTCTGTGAGAATTAATTTTTTTTTTTTTTTACTAGAACTGGAGTTTATCTTTAACACATATCCTTGCAAATAACTTACAAATTCGGTATCCTGTGAGAATAATTTGTTTAAAGAGCCCAACTTTTTCTGAACTATGACCAACAGAATTTTAATTTCCGCGACGGGCCCGCCCCCCTCCCTGGCCCCCAAAAAACCTTATTCGCCAGCTGGCTGATTCGCCGCTAAATATTTTCTCACGAATTGGGCCAAACTAAAAAAAAAATGAGTGCTTTTACCCCCCCCCCCCCCGCTTATTATTTGCTGGCTGGCTGAGTCACCGCTAAATGTTTTTCTCACGAATTTGGCAAACAAAAAAAATCGTATTGTTGTTATTGTCATGATGTTGATTTTCAGTGTAACAAGAAAACATCCTGTATTAAATCTCAAGTAACCGCAAAAATAGGAATTCTGTTTCTTTTGTTACTGTGAATCTAAAGCAATTCGAAAAATCTTTTAAATGGATCGGTCCTATGGTTTTGGAATGATACGAAGTTCAAAATTTAAATACTAACAATACCAGTACATCTAAACTATTAATCCTACCTTTCTTTCCAGGATCCGGTATTGCCCAATTAAAGTGTCCCGGTACAAACCGATCCGAGAAGAATTCTCCTGACTTTACCAGAGCCTGTGTGATACTCTCCCTGTCGTTTAGAACAACGAAGACAAACGAACCTCTCCGCAAACTGAAAATAGGGCCGTACTTCTTAGCCAGATCCATGTAGGCTTCGTGGATAAGACCTGGTTTGAAGTTATACCCGATGATTGGGAGCGACCATGGCCCAGGAGGGAGGTTCTTAGGTCTCCGGACGACCCATAAGCAGAGGAGAAAAATCACCACTCCTAGAAACACAGATGTTGCCGACAGGTCGAACATTTTATTTGATATTAATTAACGCAAGACCAAAGAGTGGGCCAATGTACAGTAAGAACTCTCTACTGCTCAGACGTCTAGCAAATTATTGTATGGATTGTTGTCTCGCAATGAACCGCTTATATGCAGACGAACAAACTGACTTTCAATACCATCGAGCCTTACACACTCGAAACTGTGTATGGGAAAATAACATATAATACCAATAGGAGGTTAGCCATACTATATCGCGTCACAATATACATGTCTGCCATTCCACCAATCAGATAGATTTAAGAGGTCACATGGGTCACAAAACGTTCAAAGTCCTGATGAATTTTATTAAACCAAGGAGTTTTGAGAGCTGGAGACCCAACTGGCAACAAATTATGCCAAGCAGCTGCCGTTTTCTAAGGTTGCACAATAGAATCTACAGATATGCTGTTACTTTTGATCTCCGAGGTTCGAAGCCGCCAATATCATTGGAAAGCTTGAGTAGTGATTTTGTTCACAAAGAAATATCCTTAATATTCACTTCTTATTTGAACGAACGAGGGGAAAATATGACAGATGACAAAATATGAAAACAAAAGCTAACCTAATTGTGTCAAGAAATTTGCTTACATTTTATGATAGCAGCTTTAATTTGATTAAATAGTAAAAATTCTACAATGATATCCTAAAACATGCAATTTGATCCGATTACTTCCGCCTCACGAAAATAAACAGTGAATTTGTTTATGCACAGTTCTTACAATGTTATATGTCAGATTAGTGCCCTCACATGCCCAGTCGAGTACTTTTGGTTAATATTTCAGGAAATTTTGCTCCATTTTCTTTCGCTTGCTTCATGTAAAGCCTCGGTCACAAATGCCATTACGAACTGCTACGAACGCCGTACGAACGATCTTAAGACAATGGAAATTCGGAAAGACAATGGAAAAACAGGGAGATTCGTAAGAAAGCATCGTTCGTACGAACCTTTGTGACCGTAGCTTAAAGGGAAAGTTGAGTTCTGTTTTCAGACCGCAAATGCCTTCAAAATCCATAGTTAATGCTTTTATACTTATCTATAACATTTCTAGTGTCCTTTTAGAACCTAAAATTTCTATGAAGGTAATTTTAGACCCCAAAATATGTGAAATTTAGCCAATACGATCATACCAATTCAGCTCCACTTTAAAAAAAATACGGTGACCGTTAATTAATTATTTAATTAAAAATAACAATACATGAGCCGGCTGGTTGTGTGTAATATAACCAACACGAAAATGCCAACAAAAAAAGCCAACATCGGCATTGGCTGAAATACGACGTAAAAATTTGCAATAATTTATTGCACTTTACCCCGGTTCCCAACATAAAAAAAATCCTCTGTGTGCCCATGCCTTGAGCCATAATGCATGGCCGTCCCGAAGATTTTTTTATGTAAATTTTCACAGAATGCAAAAAAACTTACACAGGTCACTACGTGCAAATGGTAAGTTTTATTGAAGATGATTTGTAGCAAGTTTTTGTGAGTTTCTTTTATTTTACTTGTTCAAACAATCAATCTACTGCAGGATAAACACTCGACAATGAATTATAGCCATGCTCTCTCGATATAAGATTCCCATATATTAAGGCTCAAGATTAGCCTTAAATCTTCTTTCTCCTTCAATTTTTTAGTCGGAGGGGCTCGATGGGGGGGGGGGGGGGGGTTGATTTAGCTCTTTCATGTCTGCTGTAAAGATATAATAGGCCATGTAGCATTTGTTTCCTCCATAGCCCGTAATATTGCTTTTGGTTATTAAATACATACCAACCCACACAATGTTCATTGAACTGTGTCTTTAACAGACAACGACATAAGTTAATGGGCTTTGTTAATTTCTTCCATTCACAACTATCTGCACACAATGCATAGTGGCGGAGGAGTCTCAATCACCAGATAAACGGCAGCGCTGACATGTCTGTTCACCAAACACTTATTGAAGAATGAAGAGTTTGTCAACCTCATGGATAAGATAGTGAGCAATGAAGTAGAGAACAATATTGGGAGAATTGCCAAATTTCAAGTTTCAAGTTTCAAGTTTATTTATTCCACTATATAAAACATAACATAATTGAACATAATGAATAATGGTAATTATTATAACTAAACAAACAATATATTAAACATAATGTACATGATAATAGTAATAACAGAGAATACAATCATATAAATCAATCAATAAAGTGGGGGATCTACTAAAAAGCAAAGCTTGTATTATGTAGGTCCCTGTTCTTAGGTTTACATATAAATTAGGGTATCTGAATTAACATATTTACAAAAGCATATGAAACTAGAAAGCAAAAACCTCAGCAGGGTCAGTCCGTAGTGCCAACTAAATAGCGTCAAAATACCACTTTCCTAATGTAGTCAAGTTGAATGCAAAATTCTGTATTAAGAGCCTCGTTACAAATTTGTTAATTCACCTGTTACGAACAATTATTGTATTTCAGTAAGAAGAATGCGAACAGCCTACAATTGTTGCTAGGTAGGACAAACAGTATTGCTTGTCCTACCTAGCAACACGTAGTATATGCCATTCACATTTTGACTTTTGAAATACAATTGTTCGTAAGAGGTGAATTCAATAACTTGTAACGAGGCATTTAACGAAGATTTGCGCATTAAATTTGACTACATTACGTAAATGGCCTTTTAGGGACTATTAGATTTACACGACGAGAAGGGGGTCTGGCTATGTGTGACATCCTATTAAGCCAATGTGACGTCCTTTTAAGGCACTGCCAGTGCCTTAAAACGATGCCACACATAGCAGTCCACGTTCTCGTCGTGTAAATCTAAAAGTCCCTATTATCTAGAATAATATTCACGAAGGTCGTGTGTTCGCATATTCGGCGTTGAGGAGAAGCCGGGTTAAGACACCGACGCAATTACAGCAACAGATTATCATCGAGCAGGTTGGTGTTACTCTGGAACTGAGACACATCGACCGCTCCAATCGCACAGGGAAGATGAAACCATCATTAGAAACTCCCAGAAAACCTCCCAGACATCGCACTATCATCGTGAAACTGAATTCCTACAAAAAGAGAAGGGATATTCTTGCAAATGGAAAAACCTCAAAGGATCAGGAATATCCACTTCTCGCGAAAACCCGCAGCACACCAAAAGTATTGTCAGCATAGACTTGAGGAGACAGGGTCATTGCTCTTCTACCTGCAAGTGATGGAAAAACCGTGAAGAAGGGTATTAGAAGCGAATATGACGCATTGAACATTTGAATGGATGATATTCTATTTTAATAAAAACTAAACATCGGGTACGAGTAACAATGCATTGCCTTACATTCAATAATTTAATAATTTATTTTAGATTGTATAATCCAGGCTACTTCATATACCCGAGCCACAAGATTTTAAAAATTGATATCCATACTTTGATTTGACTTGTAGTTAAATATATATTGTATATGTATATATAGGTTCTTGGTGTGAATGAATGTGTTTGTGAACTGCGATACTACTTCTCCTACTCAGTCATGGTTGTGTGTAAACTGTGTTTCTGATATTTTGCCATTTAAAGCATATCAACGCTAGTGTGGCTAGGAGGGATTAGACCACACAGCGAGGTCACTGACAGGTGGCTATCTCATCAACCCAGCTCTCAAATAACATAAGAAATAGAGGATCATGGGGGGACCAACAAACACCGATTGGGGAAGTTTTCTATATCGAGGGAGCAAGTAGGACAGCGGGACTTTTACCACAAATTCAAAAGCGGGCAGTAGCCTTAAATGTTTTTTTCTTCAAAATGGTCATAAACATACTGATTCCGCAAAAAAATTGCTACGATTATGAATGATTTTTTGTTCAACTGTCGCTAGGATATGACGTACTCTTTCAATATGTACCCATTGATAACAAAGTCAACTCGTAATTCAGCAAATAGAGCTTCTCTAATTCATAATATCTGTACAAATACACTTGAACAGAAGATTCAAAGTGAAATAAATTACGATGATTTTGCTGATCACTTCCCGATATACGCTATTAAAAAAAGGTAACATTAATAAACAATTGTCATTTTAAGACAAAAACCATTTCATTGAATTCTCTTCTTGACATCCCATACCCAAAACCGACTTTAAAAAAAGATCATTCTCGTATAATTCTCGTATATTCTAGAGGGCGTACTTGGAAAGCAATTTTGTTAAAGTAGATACACGAAGTATCAAAAGTGTTTTGAATTGATGCAAAACTCATATCATTGCGAAGGGGAAGCCTTACTGATCAAATACATCAACTCTCCTCTTCAAAATATGTTTGGGACCCGCAGTAATCAACTCTCAACATTTTTTAGTTTTGAGATCCAGATTTTCTGCCTTCAGCGGTCCTTTGTAGAGCGTCAATATTTGTGACGTCACACACTGGACACGGCTGGCTAGCTGCAGGTTGCTACACGCGCGACTCCGGTACTGAGCTGTTTGTCCAGTGTGTGACGTCACTATTCAGAGCTCGCTACGCTCGTGTGTTTGGCTTACGTTCAGGGGCGTTTGGGGGTCTAAGAAGGGTCTTCAAAAATTGCATTTTACGCTTTTCCATGATATCTATATGATTTCTCAGCGAATTATTCGTGTTTTTCAAGAGAAAATCTTTCCATCCATATGTAATTTGTTCTAATCATCAGTTGTAGTGATTTTTTCTTTGTGTAGCTCCTTTAAACTGAATGTACCTACCCTCTACTTTAAATAAAACTTGAATAAATAAATAAATAAATTAAGAAAAAATGAAAACTGGTGATTGGTCAAGTGTTGATAATTGCACCGAAGAATGTAAACGAGAGGTATACTTTTTGGGTAAATTGTATTTTATATATGATGCATTTTTTCCACTCTAGACTGTTAGCAGCAATAAGGAAACGTTTAGTTGGCAAAAATCAAAATATCTACGAAACTTCGAGAAATGTTTGGGCTACCCTTTCAAATTTACTATCAATCATAAGACTTCAACTCGCGTTGAGTTTTGAATCAATAGAATCTGAACAAGCTGAGTGGAATTATCAACTTTTGGCGCACAATGTAGCAACAACAAGATTATCAAAATTCAATGCTTGGAAACATCCGAAGTAATGATTATTATAAATAACAAAACGTTTAAATACAGTCCCG